ACATCCTCATAAAGCTTCTTCTCCCAAGCGAGGAGTCGGTCTAGAGTGGAGCAGAGGCTCTTGAGGCCGCCATGTTCATCATTCAGGGTAGATGCATCGAGCTTGTATTTGACTGCCAATGGGGGTTTTGAGGTCCAGCTTGCGCTCAAGTTGCTGAGCACACTGCTTGAATGATACACCGTCTCTGCAGACAACAGATATAGAGAGTAAGAGAATGAGATGGTGTTTCAATGCATCATCATCTACAGCTAGTTAGTAGAGTGTGAGAAGTAGACTACTTACTCCTCAGCTTGCTGAAGCTGCGGTCGAGCTCAGCCCGGCCGATCTCAAGCATGGCGGAGACCTGGTCCCCAGCGGAGGCAGCCTTGTCGAAGTAGTCTTGAACGGCGTCGAGGATCTCCTTCAAATTCTTGTGCCTTACCACCAATTTGGTCTTGTAGCAGTCGGAAGAAGTGGTAACATGGTCAGAGTTGTCTTTGCCATTTGGGTCTTGCTCTTGTTTCACAGGCTCTTCTTCTTCAATACCGGATCTGGAAACGTGGGTTCCGGCCTCCCCATCTCCGTCGGACGAAGAGGTGGCAGTGAAACGGTCGTGGTCGTCGCCCCACTCGCTGCAGTGAACTTCCTCGGCGTCATCTCTCCGGGAGTGGAAGTAATCGTGGTCGGATCTCACAGTTTCGGCGTCGTAGTCGGAAGGAGGACGGTGCTTCTGGTTCTGGCGAGCTTTGCGTTCGAAGAACTCAGAGTCGGGAGGAGAGGGAGGGTAGAAATTCTCCCAGTTCCAGACAGAGGAAGCTTGAGAAGGAGAGCGAGAGTAGGTAGAGTTCTGGTGAGCAGTGGGATAGAAAGAGGTGGCCGGAGAGGAAGAAGGAGAGGAGTCGGAGAGAATGTGGGGAAGCCTCCTAGGCTTAGGCTTGCTGCGGATGGGCGGAGGGGGCTTTGTGGAATGGGAAGAAGGGACACGTGGCGCGGCCTGGCTAGAGGAAGGGCGGAGAAAAACAGCGGGAGTGTTCTCGGAGACGGAGAGGGGCTCGCCGGAGGCGAAGGAGGAGAGGGCAGAGCCGGTGAGACGAAGGGAGCGGCAGTAGTCAGAGTGAGCGGCGGCGAGATGGTGACGAGCGTAGACGGCGTCCTTCATAAGACGGCGCCGCTCCTTGCAGCGACGGACAGCATCCTCACTGTCGAGCTTGGAGGCCGTGCATCCCATGGCCAACAACAACACACACTCTCTCTCTCTCTGTCTTTTTGATTTTTTTTTTCCGCTTTTTTCAAAAACTTTTTTGTGTTTTCATTAAAAGACAAATTTTTCACCACCGAAAGAAGAAGAAAAAAAAGGAAACAGACAACCTTCAGAGCGTTTCTTGACCGAGGTTTCTTTCTTTGTACAAAGACGCATAGGAAAAGTTTCAAAAGTGGAAAGCTTGCTTATTTGTTGGTGCTACCAAGACATATTAGTAGAGAGCATAGCCCAACGATTTAAAAAAAAACCGGAAAGGGAGGCCCGGCCCACATATCTCGAGACCATGGGCCTAAACTAAATTCAAAGCACAGAATTCACACGTGCATCAACTGACAACATTTCTTATGCAGACAAGACAAAGTTCGTGTTTCCTTGGTTTTCTTCTGCTCAGCAGCACCCAAAGAAAGGCCTCTTCTAACTTTTGTGCAATCAATCACCATCCCCGTCTCTATAACCAACCCATCATCATTCCTTACAAATTAGCTAAAGCAAGCACTATCAGATTCTACCCACCACCAGGGGTTTGTTTTCCTCCAACTGTATTAAACTAACGTACCAGTTGCAATACAAACCCTCCTCTTTTTTTCAAGGTGATGATGCTGATGAGCTACTCATTCTTTCACCGCCCCCTTCTTTTGTGAAACCAAAATCTCCAAATATTCCCTGCATTTTTTTAATCAAAAAAAAAAAAAACAGTCCAGAATCTTCTTTATCAACCTCATCATATATTCTTACTGTCTTAGGAAACTAAAAAGCACAATGACTTGTAGATACTTGAGCATGTCTCATGTACGTACCATTGCGTCATTGACAGCATATGTGACACAGTAATGTTCCTGTTGAAAACAAAACCGTTAAAGAACGCTCAACTGGCTTACCCACAAACACTATCAAACTACCTACACACTAGAACAAGATCTGACGCATGCATCATTGAAAATATATAATGGATACCGTTGATATTCAACACAAATCATCTTTTGGTCTTTTTTTTACTTTCCCATCCATACATACATACAAAGGTGCAAAATCAAGTTAATAAGGTGGAGACAGACTTGCCTGCATCATGTGCCACTCTTCAAATTCGTCAAACAACTCCAATCGCTCGATCCTAGAAACACGACATTCTCATTAAAGATAGATTCCAAGAGAAGTAGGCTTTCTAATGAAAGCTCATGAATTGAAGAAACAAGAGAGCCAAAACAGGATATAGGAAGAGGTTCATCTAAAAACAATGGAAAGCTCAAAAGTCAAAACATATCTTAGATATTTCTTGACAGAGGGAACTTTTCCAAAAGTGTTCAGACCAGAGACTAGGTATGAATAACATAACGCTCTTACACAATTTTAACAAAAGTACAGCACTGACCTGCGTTTTTCTTGAGTATCAACAAAACTACCATACACTTTTAGCATGTCCCAGGCAACAGCTCTCTGTAACACCAGAACAAAGAAAAGGGTAAAGATATTAGAGTCCATATATCATAAATTATACTTGAAAGTTAGCCCTGCTTTAATCAGACATGCACATTGTTCAAGCTACAACCAGCCATCAAGACCAAAATGAAAGACTGAAAAGTGCATTTGGTACTTCAAACCAGAAATGGTTTGAATGTCAATATAATGCCACGATGATAACCTTTGACACATCACAAACGACAGAATTATACAAGAAATGGACCGTGCCCTGGAATCGAATTTTAGCAAGCATGTTTTTGTTAGATGACTTTGCACTCCAATTCTTCCTTATTTGCATTTAAAATTTAACGCATGTCAAACTGTTTGGTAATGCAAGATTACAGGCATGATAACGCATATCAGATTGCATTAAAAATTATCATAATATTCTAACTGCAAAACAAACCTGCCATCCATTATCAAGAAACAATCTCTCCTTTGCAAGTAAAGTTGGTGATGCATCAATGCTTAAGAGTGCACATCCCCGACTCTGAAGCACAGAAACACAGTTAAGCTTTCAGAACAAGCTTAAATGAAGGTAATTGATCAGTACAACATGAACCCATGTGGTAATACCAGAATATTTAAAAGTCTTACTAGTATCCATAGATTGACAAAAATCTCAACAAGTTATCTTTACTCATAAAGATGTCGCTGCAACTAGAGTAGTAGAGTACACATTCTTACCTCCAAATTTCTAATCATTTGATGTCCAAATGCATCATCTGGATGGATCTGCAAACAGAAACCCAGCGAGTTATACACATAAGCAGTAAGATTTGTATCTGCAATATTATGCAGACAAGGAAAATCACAGTTGAGCTAAATATGCCAGAAAACCTGCTCATATAAGAAAAATACTGCAGTTGAAAACGTTTTTGACGCCCAATTGACGATGGCACGGCTTGAATCGGGGTCCAGATATATCAAAACACATTCTGCAATAATAAATGTCGGCAGACTGCTAATGATATTAGGGATCAAGTAGGTCTATCACAAGTCAGTATCTGTTACGGTGTTACCAAAATCTTTAACCCCGATAGAAACAGAGGGTTGAGGGTTGAAGATATATGTCATAAGAGTGTGTAAAATAAATAAAAATCATTGATGCATACCTTGGATCCATATCTGCAAAGGAAATAACATCACTTAATTTTGGTATATCGCGCAGGTCAACTGGAAGTAACTTGTAATGATCACTGAGCACTTGTCCTTTCTCTGCAGAGATAAACAGCACAACGAGGTGGATTGCATTACTAACGGTACAAAGTAAAAGTGGGTTGCATTAGTAGCTTGTACAAGCAGACAGAATGACGATGAAGAAAAATATCAGCAATAGCTGGAGTGAAGCAGCTGAAATGCATCATAATGAAAAGGATCATTCTACATTCTACATCTTACCAATTGAAATAGATGCATTGGGTCCTAGTTTGTCCCTGAGTTGGGAGGAGTTTTCTATAACAGCAGCCTTCTTGCTTGTGACCTATAGTCAAGAAGCAAATAAAAATGATGGATACTTTGTTCAGCACTGATCCAGTAAAATGCAATGAGTAAATGGAGAGTACCTCCTTAAAGTCAAGTTCCACATAGAGATTGGGCCCTTTCCCCTCATCCTACAAAAATAAGGAGCCGAATTGCAAGTAAATAGGAGGAATGGAGAATCAGGTAAAAAGGAGAAAAAAGAAAGACGCACCAGCAACTGAAAATACGTAGTATCAAAGCCAGCTCCGAGTGAGAGTATCTGTGTCTTGGCATTATTAGTACCGCATTCGAGAAACTGAGACATAAGCTTTCGGAAGGCAGCCCAACGGGAAAAGTAACCTAGGAAAGGCAAAGCAGTAGAGTCGGTTAGGCAGCTCGTCTGGCGGAACAAAGGTAGGCAGGCTTACCTCGATTAATGATGGGAGATCGTCGAACAGGTCTTTTCACAAAGAGATGAACATAGTCGTCTTTCATATATCCCTTTTTGACACAAGACCTTCAAAATGCATAACGCAAATCAGCAACTGATCTATATATATATATATTTGATGCGAAAACAAAACAAGTAAGGAAGAGGTAGCGTACAATTTACTGGCGGATGCATCGTCGTTAGTAGCCTGAATCGCCGCTCTGTTGCTGCGAGATTCTGCCATCGTCGTCCAAGGAAGAAATTCTCCAAGTTGCTCTGATCCATTCCCCGGGATCGTTTCTAATCTTTCTCTTAGTAGGCCTTGGCCCATTAAGTTGAATTTCCTTTTTTATTAAAAGACACGTCGGTCACATCTAAAAAAAAAAAAAAGTTAAATACTATAAAAGAGTACAGAAAAAGAGAAAAGTTAGAAGAAAGAAATCGGATTTTCCAGAAAACCCTAAACCACCGGGAATCGATTCGGAAGATGGATATCGAGCAGAAGCAAGCCGAGATCATTGATCAGCTCGTCAAGCGAGCTTCTACTTGCAAACCCGAGGCTCTCGGTCCTCTCATCATCGAAGCCACATCGCATCCTTCTCTCTTCGCCTTCTCCGAGATTTTGGCTCTACCCACTGTTGCCCAGGTTCTATTATATGCTTTGATTTCCACGATCTAGGGCTTTACATGTCTGTTCGTATATGTGGGAATCATAGATCATAAAATCATAGTATTAGGTTATTCGTAATTGGTCTCTTAAACAATAATGCATTGTGCAGCTTCAAGGAACCACAGATTCTGTGTACCTGGATGTGCTACGCTTGTTTGCCCATGGCACCTGGGGTGACTACAAATGTATGACTCCTCCAACCTTTGATATTTCTATTCGTTTTCCCTGCCATATTCTCCTCTAACTTGATTTCATCCAAACACTAGGCAATGCTTCCCGTATTCCTCAGTTGTCCCCTGACCAAATTCTCAAGCTAAAGCAGCTCACTGTGCTCACCCTTGCTGAGTCTAACAAGGTGGTATATTTCTTCTGTTTCATGATTTCTATCTACTCTCTTCCATTATCTATTTGTAAGACTCCCCTGTTTTTCTTACTGAATGTCTTTCCCCATAGGTTTTGCCCTATGATACACTCATGGTCGAGTTAGATGTTACCAATGTTCGCCAACTCGAGGACTTTCTTATCAATGAATGCATGTACGCGGTGAGTACTCTAAGCAATTTTCTTCCCAGAGTACTCTCTATTTTAAATTTACCAGCAAGTTGCACAGACAACTAACTGTGACAATGCATGCTGCTGATTTTTTTTTTACAATTTTTCAGGGTATAGTTAGAGGAAAACTGGATCAGTTAAAAAGATGTTTTGAGGTGTGTTTTGTGCCTCATCTTCCTATTTAACCATTGTGCTTTGTTTGTAAACCTAAGAGCCCCCCTTTAAACATCATATATCTTGCAACCATGCAGGTTCCGTTTGCAGCTGGTAGGGATCTAAGGCCAGGACAACTAGGGAATATGTTAGACACATTGTCCAGCTGGTAGTTTTCTTCTACCCTTAGTTCCAGGATTTTTTGCCTTCTATATCTAATTAAAAGAACTTGTACGTGATCTTAGAATATATGGCTAATGATTTACCTTCACGACCTACTCTTAAGTTCTATGTGAAATGTCCTTCTTCTTGAAAGAGTCCGTACGTTACCTTAATTGTGAATCTGTTAATGTGTTGGCGCAAATTGATGTGTAGGTTGAACACGTCAGAGAATCTGCTCATTTCAATTCAAGACAAGATCAAATGGGCGGACAGTATGAGTGAGATGGACAAAAAACATCGTAAGGAAGCAGAAGAAGGGGTGGAAGAAGTGAAGAAGTCTCTGTCCATGAAGGTCAGTGGTACATATGATGCGCTTGGAGGCCTAAGGGCTTCATTATTCCCAACTAATTATTTTATGTAACTATTTATGGTTACATTCTTTCTTGGTTACTTTCTTGTAACCATGAGTTTGAGTCCAGTCAGCTATTCTGTCTTATATTTCTTCAGAGAATTGTAGTGGGTTTCTTATTAATAGTTTAGGTCTATGTAAGGTGGAGGGGAGAGACTTCATAAAGAAATCTCTCAAGGTCTTTGAGCTTTCCAAGTCCAGCCCTGTCTCATAGATTAAAAAAGTAATGTTTCTGAATAACAAGCGAAACTTTGGCAGGTTTTTTGAACAATTCGTGGTGTGACAAGAAATCTTACATTTTGGATCTAAACATTTGTTATGAAGTTTTTTATTAAAAAAAAAAAACAAAGAAAGCAATCATAAACGGCTGTTTCGTTAAATTTTAGTGAAGTGTAAAAGTTAGAGGAAATTAAGTGGTTGGAATGTAGTACTTGGTTATTATCTGATTGTGGAATGAAATGGAACAAGGTTCATTTGGTTTGATGTGTCTGAAATGTGATTGGGAAGGGTGGTGGTCGATGTAGTCTTACTTACATTGTGGACAGGGGGATGTTGACATCAGAGGGAATAAGGAGATGTTTGGGGAACCTAGTGGAGTGATGGACTACGAAGAAGATGGGATCCGACCAAAGAGGTAACGAACATTAAATATGGGCTATATGATACAAAGCCTGTTTAAGTATGAGATGAGATGATATAACATGCTCACACACTCAACTTTGGAATGCAGGAGGAGGCATCCGGTAACAAGGTAGAGGAGCGAGCGAGAGCAAATGGTCAGTGTGGACTGACATTCCATTTACCGAGAGTAGATTATGATGATTTTGATGGCGGATCTTTCAACTTGTATAAAATCCTCTGTTCTCTCTCACAATGACCCCTTGTTATGTTTGTTTTCCCTCTCTCAGTAGCAAATTGACTTCTTATTATATTAAAAAAGGCCTTGAATCTAGTAATTCAGTAATCAGTAGTCTGAGCAAAGCTAGGCGCTGGGCTCATATGGAATGATACAGATATTATGTCAGTGTTCCGTCTTTTGACCACTAGCCATCACCTTGGCCCCTCGCATCTTGAAACCTGCTTAGTCCTAGACAGCTGCTACCTTGGCGGTACTGTAAGTGCCGAGCCAAATCCTGGCTCCATGCTTTTTGGCTCCATTGATCTCTCAGCAACATATTTTCCCACCGGCCTTCTCCTCACTCTGAAGCTGTACTCTCCGATTCATCATCATCCAGTAGATGTCGGTGAATTGAATCCAGAATAGATGATCTGAGATACGATAACCCTGCATTTTGGCGTTTGATGTGCTGCGAAGTGCAAAAGCCTTATTTTAGTCATGTTTCTTCTCTATCTATTACTTTATAGAAACAAATCAACAAGGCAAGACAAGAATCTTGCTTCCATGAGTACAACATGACTTTTTAAACTATTTATGCCCTGGAATAATTATGACCTTGATGATGGTGATTAAAGCTATGATGGACCAAGCTTTGGTGGATAGGTTGACCAAGCTATGATGGACCAAGCAAGAAACATAAAGAGTATCCTTGGGTATGTTTTGACTTTTGAGTGAAAAAAACGATAAGAGAGTCATCTTAACACAATTACCCATTGTAAATGAAGATATCAATGTTTTTGTACAAGGGATACAAGTACATTTGCCTCAAAATGAGTATCACATCTCTACTTTTCACTTGCCACCAGAGTCTGAAACTTAACAGACTTTGATGTTGACACCAAGACTCTGCAACTGATCAACAAGGACTTGTCTCCTTGGTGATTTAAGCCATAAGCATGAGATCCTTGCCAATGCAGCTTGGCTTGCAAACTGGACCTTGCAAGCCAAACTCAGCTCTGGCAACACATCCACGCATGAAGCATCACCACCTATGTTTCGAGGCTCATCATACCCAGCCAGATCTGACTCTGTTACCACCACCACCGACCCATCATCGAACAATGACAACACCTCTTTCTCAGCCTCGCTTCCTAAGCTTCTTCGCTTCACAATTACGTTGCTTTCTTTTGCCTTCCTTCCCATTCTGGAACTGCAGAACTCCTTCACAGCCTGCCGTTCAAAATATATGAATTAGCAACTGCGGTAACAAAGCAACCACACTAATTTGTAAAGATGCAGCTATGGGGATGGATATTGAAAGCGCACCTTCCACTGAGCCGAAGCAAGTAAGACCCGCGGCCTTATGGACCGAATGTACTCATATGCACACTCTGGTGTCATTTCCCTGTATTTCACCTATCGGGTAAATGGGTACACAAGTAAGAAAATGGTATCCTTGATAAAAGTAAACTAGTAACCCTATAATAGAATGGTTGAGGATAGATGGATGGCCAACCAGGTAACAGATCACAATGGTTGTACTGCGTCCGCGACCAGCCTTGCAGTGAACATAAGTAGTCTTGCCACTTGACGCATTCTCTTCGCAAAATAATAGGAGGAGCAAATGAGGGATCATGCAATACAAGTTTGAATTTTCAATCAAGAGAAATGGGACCATGTAACTTACTGTGAATAAAATCAACAGCTTGGCAAATATCACTGACTAATGGAGCAAAGAGATAATCTCTGGTGGGAATCACTAGATGGTTGATACCATGAGCCTACAAGGTGTAGGAAATCGAATTAGAGCATGTCATTTAGATAATGAATGATTGGTGATGATGAGAATGGAACATACATGATAGAGAGATGAGGGAACCAAAGTCTCAAAAGGCTCGTTGAGGGTAACAACGCCATAAACACCAAGTTCCTTGAGAAGTGGAACATGAGTGGGGAAAGGCACAGCACCAAGCAATACATACTGATAACACAACAGAGCTTAGGAGCCAGAAAGGAACACACACAAAAGAATATTGTATGGAAGAAAGTGTTTTTACCTCATCGACAAGATCCCACCATCGGAATTCAGACTGAACCATGTTCCGGAGAACGTTGTAGAGCAATGTTGGGTAGAAAAGGGCGCGACCGCCAGCTCCAACAAGAGCACGTTTCGCATTCCAAACACCTAAATCAATACTTGTGGTACTACTACAACTAGTACATGACACAATCCCTATCGATTTCTCACACTCCCTTTGGCTAATAACCTCTTCGCCGTCCTCCTTCAATTCTTCGATGTACATGTTCAAAGGAACAAACTTTCCAGTAAGAAAAAAAAAAAACCCCGATTCCTTGAGAAAAGCTAAGAAGTCGATCAAAGAAATGGGTAAACCCTAGAAATCCTTTTTTTTTTTAGTCCCCAGGAAAACGAAAGACCCCAATTCGATTCGCAAAAATGATTTCACTCTGTGAATTTGTAAAATACGAAAACTTTGGAGATTGCAACAAAAAAACTAATCTGAAGCTGGTGGGATGGATTTGGTCTTCTTCGCTAATTCAAAAAGGTAAATTTCTCTCTTGTTCAAATTTGCAATCTGTCTTTTTCTCCAATTATTTCCATTTTCCTGGTGGACATTTTACCGGATTATAAATTTTTTTTTTTTTCATTATATAATACAAAGGTGGAATACATTTTTGGGATGCGTTTTTTGAAATCCAAAAGCCGGCGGAAAATAAAGAAATCCTTAAAAACTAAAGTCAAGAAGTAAAACCCGATACACGGGAAACACAAAAAAATATACTAAAGTCAAGAAGTAAAGCTCTCAAAATCACCAAAAAAAAAGAACCGACGGCGCCAAAAACTGCAGAGCGAGGAGACATAAGTAGTGGTTGTGAAGGAACATCTTCGCACGACTAAAATCCAAATCAGGAGTTTTGCTTCCGTGTAATCTCTGATACCACAAGAGCACTGCTGCGTTCAAAAACATCTGAAGGTTAGGACGAACCGCCAACGCTTGTAGTAAACCCGATAGTAACAAACACAAAACCCGAAACTTAACAAAATCATCACTCGACATGCCTACATTACCAACCAACCCAGTCTGACTCCTACTAGTTCCACCATTATCACTTCTCTTCACCAAAATCTCAGCCAACGGATGAATCCAAAGCAACAAAGTGAACATCGATACGATAGAGAATCATCCTACCGAACCATCCACAAGAAATGATAGACAAATTACTCCTAATCTGATCAGTCCCAACCAAAAACGACCTTGCACTTCTCCCATCAGGCATATAAAGGAATCCACTGATACAAGCCATCGAAAACGATATCACAATACAGCAAAACGCATCAACAAATTCCAATTGAAAATCAAATCCTTTAGGAAAAATACCAGCACTGATAATAATCCCAAACACAAACCCTAAAACACCAAAAAATCAAACTTGAAGTTCTTCGAAGCAGATCTCTCAATCCAAATCTTCCCCAAAGCAACGAAAACCTTACACAAAGCTATAAACCCAAGAACAATCAGAAACATCAATCCATTACCCAAAACTCCATGACTATCCTCTACACCGAAGTAATTATGAAGAAGAAAGCAAGAAACAGCTAAGAACAATAACACGAAAATCGAATTGTACTTAGTGAAATACATTCGAGATCTGAGATGATCTTCAACGAGCTTAATTCGAAAGATCTGAGCATTGCTTTCGTCGAATTCGGATTTATCTTTGGATTTCTTCTTCTAACTTTAACATTGGACTTTGGATCATCGGTACTAGATGGTCATTGAGATTTGGTTGAGATTTTGGTTGGATATAGGTACAGAGACAGATGATTGAGATTTTGACGAATGAGAGGATTAGGGTTAAGAAGAGAGATAATAGGAATTGAAGTGTGAGATTCCTGTAAGCTCCAAGAAGCTCAAGCATTCTTCTTTTCTCTTTTTTTCACTCTCTTCTGGTCGAAGAAGAAGAGAATCTGATTTTGTTTGGAATGTTCGTACTTTCAAACGCCCAATGGGCTTTAATTGGTCTTAGTTGTCTATATCTCTGATAATAGATACTGGAAAATGTTGGACCTTTGTATAAGCCCAAGCCCTTGTCTAATTTTTTTTATAGTGAATCGACGATTTCTTCCGACTACTTAAATCCGCCATGAACACCAATTTAGGTAAGTCTATAACCATGTCACTTTTGATTGCCGAAGAGAAGAGGAAATAAGAACTTGAAAATAAAAAAGAAACACAAATAGTTCACACAAAAAAGACACAGGTGATCGAAATCACATGAATGATTCAACATGCAACTTTGTTCTGTATTTATATATGTCAAGGTATCCATCGATATTATCCTTAGAGCCGCATCGTTTCCTTAATACCGTGATAAAACCTATTTTTAGCTCTACACGGCACATGGAATTTGTTAAGAGAGTGATATTGGTTAGACACAAAATCAAATCAATTATAATCAAACATAAGCAAGTAACTACAAAAAACAAAAAAAAAAATTAATAAATAAAGCATTGATCATTCGAATATAGTAGATTTGATGACACATTAATCGATATAGTCAAATATTTTCATAAAAATTTTCGAGGCTTTAAGGTACTACGGGTGGACAACCTCACGGCGAATCTGAAAGATTTCTACCCTTGTAACTTTTAATTGACCAAGAGAAGATTGTTCCAATAAGCAGCTTCGGAGAAAAGGTTGTTGGGTGCGCAATGGGTTGCTGATTAACCTCCCTGGACTGGGAAGGTCGATAACAATAACTGCTTTTCTCTCTTTTATAGTATGGCAGGACCTCAAGAAAATAATCTCCCTAACATCCATCAAAGGACAAAGTCCTTGAATTTCAGCCTTGATATGTCAAAAACAAAAAAAAAACAAAAAATTGAATAAATAAGAACAGAAAATAATCTTGTGTGTGTTTAAGAGGTTTCTTCATACCTCCACTTGTGTATGTAGAGTACGTTCATTGATATTAGGAGGATCACCATCAGACAATACCATTGAAGCCTAAGCAACTATGGACGGGAAAAGATCTTTCCATTACTCTTACCATGAAATAGAAAAAAGATAGGTTAGTGTGTGATGAAGTTGTTACACCTAATGTTTGCCAACATTAAATCAGTAATTTCATTATAAAATTATACATCAAATAACCATAGTATAAAAACATAATGGTGGTGAATGATATACTAAATATTTACATTTTTAAAATTGATTACTATATTCTACTGTGTTTTCGGAAAATAATTTCAGTATATACATATACGGTTTATAAATAAATATATATAACTACAAAATAAATATCAGTAATCTATTAATAAGCTTTTAGCGTTTTATGAAAGTTTTGAGAAACACTATTTAGCTTCAATATATGCTTTCGTTATTATAACATCATTCAACTATCATGTTGTTGTACTATTTATTTTAGTTATCTAAGACAAAAAATGAGCTCCTGAACCCATTAAATTGCTTCTCTAATGTTTTCATTCCTTAACTACGAGTTGTTAGTTAACAACAAAATTATTAAAAATAATATAAATAAATAAAGAGTGAAACCTCAAAAGTTAAAAAATTGGAGCAGGTTGCCGATAGTTCATTTAATAATTAATATCGTTTAGACACGGTCATGTGTTTTAGTTTTTTTTTCATTTTATAAAAAAATTGAATATGGAGACAACCCCTCAAATAGAATCTGAGTAGAAAAAATCACTAAGAGAGCCAAATAAAATTTCATCCTATATGCTCTACATATTTTATGATATACCAATTTTTTGTGCGATTGGTATATGACCCGATCAACTTTGTAATCCGTCCGTTCTTGCTTCTGGAGTTAGGAGTGGATTCGATTTGAAGTCGGAGTAAAGTTTTCAACTGGATCAAGCAGATAGTAGGAGCTTAAAAGGTACGAAGTGTCCTATAGTTTAGAATATGGTGTAATAAACTTTTTAAAAGCTAATAATTTACGAAATACCTTTTTATCGGGGTATAGAGGCTTTTACAATACAAGTTAAATCGATGCAATAAAGTTCTTCTAAACCTGCTGTGATTTATGGGCCAGTATCAGAGTAACCCAAAAAGTTATTTTGAGCCCACTATGATTTAAATCCCATAGTTTCTTTTCCCTATCAAGAAAATGCATTATTTTGGGTATATATATGAGTGGCGTAATGGGATTGTTTTAACTCTTTTTTTTTTTTTTTTTTTTTGTCATCCGGGTATTTCATTCAGAATGAAAAGTTACAACGAAACCATTGCACAAAGGCAAAGTAGGCACTGGGAAGTGATTAGATTGTTTTAACTCTTTGAATTCAATTTTTCAGGATCATAAAATAAAGACAAAAACAAAACAGCCGTGTCATACTGTCATTTAATTACTGAGCAAGGAGCTAGCTACTTGTCTGTATTCATAAACAGTGTTTGTATCATTATTTAACGAAATATTGGGCTATTCGTATGAAATGCCACGACATAGCTGAATATAATATTAACTATTAAGTTTAGACATGATTGATAGTTTGATACGATTCGCAGTCGGTACACCATATTATATAGTACGTACGTAGTAGTAGAAAGGATAGGAGCAAGAAGGAGATAAATTTAGACCGACCCTTATTTAACATATACAAATAAGTGCTTGTAGTACTAGCCCACTTCCTTTCATTCTAGATATGTTTTTCCCCCACCGTTCGTATTCCATTTGTCCACACATTATTCCCAATATCAAATTGTAAATCACGTACTGGTTGATTTTGTGAATGTACACACACGCACACACAATTGTACGTTGACAATTAGGGTTTGCAGATATTTATCTTGATCATTTTTAAGATTTTTCACGAGGACTTTCCATTGTACACGCATTAATTAATGGTGTTTAACGACGAAACCTAAGAAAACCATATATATACCTATATATATATATATATTTATATAAGAACGTACGTGGATGTTAATTTTAATAAAGACTTTTACGAAAGGTTTTAAAGAAAAAAGGAGATTTTTACGGGAAATTACAGTAATTAATAACTATATATGCTGATTAAGAAAACACAAGCCCACGCACACACATTCATTTTACAAATTAAGTAAGAAGGACAAAAAAGGATGAAAACAAACAAAGACGCTTTTTTTTTTTTTTTTGTTCTCTCCGTAGTGGCTAATTTATACATATATATACCTATATAATTTAATCACACATTCTCCAAAGAGTAATATTATTATAACTAATTTTTCTAATACCTTTCGTCAGTTTAAACTAACACATGACATCTTTGAGAAGCTTGTACCTTCGTGTGGCCGTCTTAGGCGACGGCACTCCGCCTCCAGCTCCGGCAACGCCTTCGGCCACTTGACCATGATGGTTATTGTTATGATTGATCTCGCGGCCGGACGAATAGTCCGGTCGGTTTGTGAACTCATCATTTTCATAATTAACGGAAGAAGAAGACTTCTTTGAAGAAGAGCCGCCATGTCTAGCAACGTTTCCCAGCTTCCGGTCGTCGCTGCGGCACCAGTCGCAAATCTTGGCAGGCTCCGCAAACTCGCTGTAGTAGTTGCTACAATAACTATATATGATCAATTAAATAAAAGAAACCCATCAATATATAGCCGTGAACGGTCACTCTGTAAATATATATATGCTAAAGGAGGACTACTTACGAGTGCTGTAAGCGGCAGCGGCAGTGCCCGCAGCTGAAGAGCTTGTCGGAGAAACCGACGTCGCCGCACATGCAACATACTCTCTCCATGATCTTCACAATCTTTATTATTTTGTTTCTATATATATCGACCCTTGTATATATATGTTAGGCGCTGATGTTAGACTACCCTCTTATATTTATTCCCCACAAGCCAAAGCATCTCCTCTATATATATAACATATTTCTTAAAAAAATACAACTACGCGTGTTAGTAAAATGTACAGGTAGACCAGAGGTTTGCTTGTAGTCGTTGTCAACCTTAAAATGGGGAGTTTTAGTGAAATTACTGTTTTGTCCTTCCTTTGTGTTTTTCCCATGTCTTGCCGTTTTCTAGTTTTTACTCTTCCAGTATGGTCGTATGGATGGATCCATCTCAATGCCTACGGAAAGCAAGCGCGTTTGTTTTTAGTTAACTTGGAACATACAATGCAATGACTTGCGGTCTTTTCTTTCCATCAAATTCTAGGGGGGCTTTTCAAATAAAATAAATGTTGTATATCATATTATCATCATCAATTTCATTAGAACTCAGATCGACCATCGGTTTTTTTACTTTATAACGAAACGCTCGCTGGTATGCGACTGAGAGAGTGTTTTTGCGACAATAATGAAATTAATAACACCAAAAAATTGATCCAACTTAGTAGTACGTAGTACTGTTTTTGTCTCCCTTTTCCCATAAAGAGGAAAAAAATATTGGGATTATCACTTGGTGGTGATGTTGTATATCTCGATTGCACACTAACGTATAAGTTAATGGGAGTTCTGGCTTGAAGATCTAGTTCTTTAGCGAGTCTTCGTTGGTCCGGCGGCTTATGATCAATAGACGAGTTCTGCTGGTAGGGTCCAACTTGTCTCCAAGACTGATTCGTTATACTAGTTAAGTACTAAACGTGGCTAAAGAAGAATATTCTGTTAACTTTGATTTGTTTATATCAATATGATGCTGGACAAAAGTTTATTTAATGCAACGTCAAGCAATGTTGATGGATCGATAGAGATGAATTTAATGAGGAGGGTTAGGTTAAATACAATTTGGTACACATTTATTGTTTGCTTTTCCAATATTTATTGCGGTTTGCATGTTTCTCAAAAAGCCGGTTATTTTATATCTTGGGGGAAATTTTGATGCAACTCAGACGACTTGCAGTGTAAAATTGATAAAACACACAAATCACACGATGAAGGAATCCGAGGGAGACAAAATCAACGACGAAAATCAGTTCCCTGGTGGTTTCCTTGGCTTGAAATATAAACGGTCGGAGGGTGATCCACGTGGCAGATTTCAGGCGATATTTTTGGAGTTTGGTTGGCCATGTTGCCCTCTCTCTCCACCTATATCATTCATTTACGATGATGGTTCACCATGTACGCAACGCGCAATTTGGTGCCAATCCTTAATTAGAGGGTTTCAGGTTCCCACCTCTCTCTAATCTATTTGTATTTTATAAACTAGTTTAACGGAGGGGGACCTAATAATTATGATATATATATAACATGTGAATGAGAGAAGTGGACCCAAGTGATCCTTGCTGGTAGTGGCCTCAAGATTTACTTACTTCTTTTTCGGAGGAAATTCTTCGTGTTCATCATTTTTTCTTTCTTAAGTCTAGCTCTTTCCAACTTACAAGTTTAATTTATATTTCCAATTCGTAAGTTGAACCAAAAGAAAAAGGCATAATTCAAGCTAAGATTAGACCAACTGTCTTTCGTGACACACTTGCAAATAAAATCTGATAATGATTTTTATTGGTAGTAAAAGACAAAAAAGTTAGCAGTAAATATATAATTAGAAAGAAGAGAGACATAAAGGGATGATAGAATATTTTGGATGGCACTGTGGTAAATAATGCATCTAATAATAATCATTCGAGACAAGTGGACAACCCTACCTCTTTTGAGATTACTTTATAGCTTTCTATGTACAGGTTAAAAAAGGTTGAGAATCAAAATGATGATGATCGTAGAAGCAGAAGAATCAAAATGATGAGAATCAAAAGAGCAGAAGAATTAAGATGCTTTTTTGTTTGTTGAGCGAATTTATCATGAGTCCCCAACACAAATGAATAAAAGAATATGCTAATTTTCCTTTGTTGGATATATTAAAAGACAATTGAAAATCCAGACGACACGAGCTAGCAGAGTAATGGGCCTCTAGAAGAGTCGGGTAATGGAAGGCCCATTTACGAAACGAATGGGCTTGTTAATAGCAGCAGAGCGGCGGGCGACGTTATTATATCTCTGGAAATCACTCACCACAGCCCCCCCCCCCCCCGAAAATCGCAGAGCAAAAGTTTGCAACGCTTTCGAATCACCCACCATCCATCAATCGGATCTCAGAGAGAGCGTTCTCGTTAATCCCTAGCTATAGCTACTCTCTTGGATCCACCCCCTCCGAAAACCCTAGAAGGAAGAGCCCCTCTCGTCGTACCCTAGCATTTCGGATCTCGGATTCCCCCCCATACTCATGACTCCCTCCAAGGTCGCCGGTCATACCCGGTTCTTGCTCCACAGCTTTCATGATTCCGATGTCGACTCCATCGCCCTCCAGCTTTCTCAGGTACTTGTTTTTCTCTCTCTCTATCCTTGTAAGTTCTGAGATCAGCCTTACGAAGATATTCAAATTAAGATAATAAAGTGGTTGTTTTTTTTTTAGTTGGTTGATTTTGGAGTCGAGACTAGCATTCCAGTTCTCAAGACCTGCCTCGATTGCTTCACCGTCCGGCGAAGCCATCCTAATTCGTTGCAGCTTGAGAAAGTTGTATCCTTGGTCTTTAAACATGTGCTCAATTTGTCTAATCTCGCCACCCTGCTTTCTCACGCCCTCAAGGATGTTGAGCTCACTCAAGATTCCGTCCATGATTTGACTACTTGTTTGAATTTTTCTATCTCTGAGAAAATTGGCTTTGCTCTCGCCCTCACTGATTTTGAAAGATTAGATGCAAAGACGGCTGGTATGGCCCCGTCTCTTCTCCGTCTCTTTCTTCTCATTTCTCTTTGGTTTTATCTTACCTTTTTATGGCTTTTTCAGGACGCAACCTACTATTGGCTGAGATTGAGCAACTCTCTGCCAATACTGCCCAGATTGATTCAACTGAGCAAATTCAGAATGTTCTTTTGTTTCTCCACAAATCTGAGGATCTTTCCATGCATTTGGATTCCTTCTTACAGTTTTTGTCTTCTGCTCAACCTAGAGATGACTTCTCTTTTGCTCTTTCACCTATGCTTTCTCAACAAGTTCATGAAGCTCATGTTTTCAGGTGCCGCTTTTGACTTTCTTTCATCTGTTATTCCTTTTTTGATCCCTTATGTTTCTAATGCGTTTCTCACATTTTTCCTCTTCTGCTCTAGGAGCATGGATTTTCACATTGATTCTGCTGAAAACGAGTTTGATGCTATCTTAGCTGAAATCGATAAGGAAATCAGTGTTGGAGATCTCATGGGAGAATTAGGTTGTGGATTCACTGCTGATGCCCTACAGTGCAAAGAAATCTTGTCTACTTTTGCTCCATTAGGAGAGGCTACTATCTCAAGAATTCTTGGCAATGTTTCTCGGACATGTGCTGATCTTGAAGATAATCACACCACCTTTCCAACATTCACTTTAGCCCTTAGTTGCTGCATCCCTACTGAACTTCCCACCCCAAGGTCGTGGAATGTTGATATTCTAGTTGACACAATCAAGCAGCTTGTAAGTTATCTGAAACTCTATTACTTTGTCTAATCAATATAATTGATAGTTTCAAAACTTCATTTATCTTTTTTTTTTTTTTCGGAGCATGCATGATGATTATCTTTCTTTTATCAATGGATTTGTGAAGACATCTAGCTTATTGTTAACTGTTATTTGGTTCATGCTCTTAATATTTTATGCTAAATCAGGCTCCTGGCACAAGCTGGAGGAAAGTAATTGAGAATCTCGATCATGACGGATTTGACATCCCTAATATGGAGTCTTTCTCATTTTTTATGCGGCTCTATAAAGCTGCTTGCAAGGTGTGTTCTCATACTCTCTAATTTGACTGCTTGAAAATATGTTTACTTCATTTTGTTGTTTGAGGGTGTTAATCTGATTCTTGCAGGAGCCATTTCCTCTTGATGCTGTATGTGCTTCTGTCTGGAAAAATATGGAAGGTCAATTATCCTTTCTTAAGCATGCAATATCTGCTCCACCAGAAGTATTCACCTTTATGCATTCTCCAAGGAAGCTGGTGAGATACCACACGTCTGTGCTTAGAGCTGTTTTTCCTTGTTACTGTCACTATTCTGACCAGTTGTATTTTAGGTATATATTGATAACATGCACAGCCATGAGCAACAGTTAGGACTATCCAATCATGCATGGCTGTCGCTCGATCTCCTGAATGTGCTTTGCCAATTGGCCGAGAGAGGTCATGCCGTTTTAGTTAGCTCGTTGCTCCAGTATCCACTCACACAGTGTCCTAGAACCTTGCTTCTTGGAATGACACACATCAAAGTATTTCTCCACGACTGGTCTTAGGTGATACATGCTTGTAATCTTGATTTTTTTTTGTTTGACTAAGTATGTCAATCCTCTTACTGCAGACTGCCTATAACCTCATACAGCGTGAAGTGGTTTCTGCTATTCTTCCAGTGATAATAACGAATTCCCAGGATAGTGGTTTTATCCTTAATCTCTGGCATCAGAATGCAGAACTCGTTCTGTGGGGGATTTTAGATGCCCAAAATCTTAAAGCAGACAGCTTGCTCCGAATAATTGAAATCTGTCATGAGCTAAAGGTGAGTATATTGTATTGAAAATGCGTGACAGTGGCTCAATTTATCTCATTATAATGCTTTCCTCTTTTCTTACAACAACCTCTCTATTTCTATGTACTAATCATGGCTTATTTATTTATTTATTTCAGATTCTCTCTGTTGTCTTAGAATCAGTTCCAGTCTCATTCAGTATCAAATTGGCAGTCCTTGCCTCATTGAGAGGTCTTTTGGACATTGAGAACTGGTTGCCAAACTGCCTGTATGTGTATAAGGATCTCTTTGCTGAGGTAACATATCGTTTACAACCATATTCCTATTTCTAGTTTTTTAGAGATGAGAAGTGGTATCTATCATCTAATTATGTTTTTCATATTTCAGGAGTGTCTCAAATTTGTCAAGAATGTGCATTTTAGCGAATCAGACGATTTTACTGCCAAAAGTTTTCATCCTTCAGATCCTTTATCAGATCTTCATCTGGATGCAACAACTTCCCTAATGAAAGTTAGTTTGATTCCCTATTTCGTTTGGTTTTCGGCTATTGCTTCATATCTACTGAGATCAATTTGTTTGAACATGTATTGTAGGTTTTGAAAGCTCATGATAATGCGATTACTTCATCTCAACTAGTCGAGGAGATTGAAAAGGTCAATGCAGCTATTTTGGATTGTAATCCTAAACTGCAGAATGGCGAGGCTAAAGATTCATCAACATCAACTGCATATGGAGATGATGTTGAGGCAGAAGCAAACGCCTATTTCCATCAAATGTTTTCTAGTCAGTTGAGTGTTGATGCAATGGTTCAAATGCTTTCCCGATACAAGGACTCTTTGGTTCAAAGGTTCGATATTGACAAGCTATATTTCAGAATTTCAATTTTTCTCCTCATGTTTGTCAGGCTCCTCATGCATAAGGAAAATCACGAGATTGTTTTTTTGGCAGGGAAAAATTAATTTTTGAATGCATGATTGCTAATCTGTTTGAAGAATATCGGTTTTTCCCCAAGTATCCCGAGAGACAGCTGAAAATAGCCTCCATACTCTTTGGTGAGTGGATCTTTTATAAGGATGTTTTTACTTTGATGTAGCGGGTGGTTTGTGTTGGGGAGGGGGTATACCATAATATCTTCTATGCTATTGTGTTAGCTCTCGACATTTTTTACCGTGCTAATTGAGATCTCTTCAGATTTAACCCGACCATCCTGTGAGCAAATTTGAGCGTTTCTTCAGATTTGTATTGTTTACATTCTCTTGAATCTACTGTGACTTGTACAAATTTCAGGTTCTGTTATAAAACACCAGCTTATAAGTTCCCTCACTCTGGGGATGGCCCTGCGTCTTGTGTTGGATTCTTTGCGTAAACCTGCAGATTCAAAAGTATGGATTCTTTTGTTGTTTATTTCTGTCTCCCGGCTTTTTTTTTGTGAGTGATCTGTCATCTTCTTTCTTTCCTGATTCATGCAGATGTTTCTGTTTGGAAGCAAAGCTCTGGAACAGTTCGTGAATCGTCTTGTTGAATTGCCTCAATACTGCAACCATATTTTGCAAATATCTCATCTGCGTAGCACTCACCCTGAGTTAGTCACTGTTATTGAACAAGCACTTTCAAGGATATCATCTGGTAATTTAGAATCAGATGCCTCTGTTTCGCACCCTGGGCCCTCACAGTCTATCCCTGGAAATGGCGAGGTAGGATTTTGGTTTAAAAGTTGTCTTTTGATTGAATGTGCTAATTGTCTTGCCATAAGTTGATACTGCGAATTTTGATCAACAATCTGTTTCAAACATGAGATCATATAGCTAGAGTTATCTATTGAAAAGGGGAAAGAAAATTGATTGATCATTTCTGTTTCTAGTCTCATGCCTTTCATTTTAGCTCTTTAGCCGTAATGTGGAATTACTGTAAGCTTCTCGTGGTCTGGGTTGGCTTATATCTTTTCTCACTGTAAATCGGCTTTCGGAATTTTCTGGTGAGATGAAATTAAAAAATTGTTTCTGTTTTTTTTTTTTTAAACTTTGCGTTGGCAGTTGAGTGGTTCTGGAATTGGCCAATCAGCATTACAGCTTCAACAGAAAAATGAAGTGCATATTGATGACCGCAGCAAATTGCCAAATGTGCTATCTAACGAGGCAAAGCCACTTCTGCCATCGTTATCAACCACTTCCGCTGATGTTTCTGTCAATCCTAAGGTGATGACTTTCTCTTGAATTTTTCTTTTATGGCTGTGTATGGGTGTAAGAGTTTCCATTTCAGCTGACTAGTTATTCTTGCAGAATCCTGGCATTACAACTTCTTCATCAACCTCCGCTGGTTTTGTTCGCCCAGCTCGTGCAGCCACTTCAACAAGTAATCTCTAGTCAACTTAGTTTTATAACTGTTTTTTTTTATAAATATAATAGGGAATATAGTTCTTTCCTATCAAGAGAAGAAATGTTACTAAAATTCGATTATCACAGGGTTTGGCTCGGCTTTGAACATAGAAACCTTGGTTGCAGCAGCAGAAAGAAGGGAAAACGCAATCGAGGTACGTTGCCATTTTACTATTGTCTATTTAGATTCAGAATTATCTTCTTTTGGTTACATTGCATAAGGAACTGTCAGTATGTCAAATGTCTACTTTTTAGTATGAATGACAATAACAAGTCTTTTTTTTTTCCAGGCTCCACCTTCAGATGTTCAGGACAAAGTTTCTTTCATAATCAATAATATCTCTACAGCAAACATTGAATCTAAAGGGAAAGAGTTTGCTGAAATTTTGCCCCAACAGTATTATCCTTGGTTTGCACAGTACATGGTTATGAAAAGGTACTGATTAGTCGTGTTCTTTATGTTTGCAGTTAATGCAAGGTTTCTTTCTTATTTTTTTCCTGCATGTGTTTAATACCTGATAGTGCGATGTGTTTAATACCTAATAGAGCGAGCATCGAGCCGAATTTTCATGATCTGTACCTGAAGTTCTTGGACAAAGTTGATTCCAAGCTGTTGTTTAAGGAGATACTTCAAAATACTTACGAAAATTGCAAGGTTATTTTTCTTCACACAAGTGATTTTGCGGTGATGGGTGTACTCTTTTGTTTGGCAAAATTTTTCTTTCCTTAATTTCTTTAGTTTTGCAGGTTCTTTTGGGTTCAGAGCTCATAAAGTCAAGTTCAGAAGAGCGATCTCTGCTTAAAAATTTAGGCAGTTGGCTTGGAAAGTTGACCATTGGAAGGAATTATGTTTTAAGGGCGCGAGAAATAGATCCAAAATCCTTGATTGTGGAGGTAATTGCTACTATTTCCTTCAAATTTATCTCGTTCTTTTGTAATACACTGTCATATTGTTGATATCAACTTTGTTTTTCTCCTTTTGCAGGCCTATGAAAAAGGGTTGATGATAGCGGTCATTCCATTCACTTCAAAGGTTGGTGATGGTTGATTGTCATTCATAGCTGTTGTAAGGTTGATTTCTTGAGTTCTAATTTACTGTCAATTCAGGTTCTGGAGCCATGCCAAAACAGTATTGCGTATCAGCCTCCCAATCCTTGGACGATGGCTATACTTGGGTTACTCGCTGAGATCTATTCAATGCCAAACCTAAAAATGAATCTGAAGTTTGACATAGAGGTATCTGGTTGTTAAGAAGATCATAGTAAAGATGATTGGTCCTCTTGAGCATCACAAATTATTTTACATCACTTCTATTTGTGTATCCAATGTTTTTTTCTCAACTCGTCTTTCTCTTCAGGTTTTATTCAAGAACCTTGGTGTTGAGGTTAAGGAAGTAGCGCCAACTTCCCTTCTAAAGGATCGGAAGAGAGAAATAGATGGGAATCCTGATTTTAGTAACAAAGATCTTGGAGTAACACATATATCTCAGCCACAGATGATTCCAGAGCCTAAAACAATTTCTCCTCTTAAGCAAATTGATCTACCTCTTGATGTTGCAAATTCACCTAATACAGACGTTCCCTCGAAGTTATTATCACAGGTTATTTTTTGTGTAGTTTTTTAACCTATGTCTGGTTATTTTTTGTGTAGTTTTTTAACCTATAATGTCTGTTTTACTTATCAATGATAGTTAGCCCCTTGCTTTTTCTTTTCAGTATGTAGCCCCACAACGTGTTTATACTAATACTTTGGTGGATGACGAGAAAGTGGCAACTCTAGGCTTGCCTGAGCAGCTCCCGTCACCTCAAGGACTGTTCCAGTCAACTCCATCTCCATTGTTTTCTATTAGTCAGGTACGATTTTCATAGGCATGTCGATCAAAGTTATTATCTAGATGATTGCTCAAATCCTTTCTACTTTTAATGTGATGGCCAGCAGCTGTCAGCAGCACTTCCCAACATTGGAAATCATGTTGTTATCAATCAGAAATTAAGCGCATTTGGTATGCACTTTCCATTTCAGAGGTTTGTGACTAATGGTCTCTTACTGGTGAAATCATTATGATTGTAGCGCAATGAAGCTATTTTTTATTACACACTAAACTATTATCCATTGTCAGAGTGGTACCACTTGCCATGGACAGAGCTATCAAGGAGATTGTGTCTGGTATTGTTCAGCGAAGTGTTTGTATTGCATGCCAAACAACAAAAGAGCTTGTGCTAAAGGTTGACCAATCTAAACCTTTCTCCGTTTTTTTTTTCCTTTATTACTTTTACGTTACTTGTTTTTAGTCTCGTGCCTCAAAATTTTCCTTATCCCCCATTTGATTTCTATTGCTTTTGACTCCACAACTAAATTATTTGATTCCCATTGATCACAAATGTCAGTCTCTATTAAAAACAGAAAATCTCCAGGGCTTTGATCTTATTTATTTATCGTAGATTATTGTTTCTGTTTTTTGACTCCAGGATTATGCCCTGGAACCCGATGAGTCACGTATTTATAATGCTGCTCACTTGATGGTTGCGAGTTTAGCTGGGAGTTTGGCTCATGTGACTTGCAAGGTTTTTCCTTCTTATAAGGCTTGGATTCTTAAGATTCTTTAGCTTTTTTGTATACATCTCGTTTACATTTCATGCTATTACATTTCTGCCCTGTTACTCTAAACCAACAAGCTCTATTTTTCTCTCTGTTTTTTTGTGCATTCTCTGGTATTTTTAGGAACCCCTGCGCACTTCAATATCCGGTCATCTACGGAATTCGCTCCAGGGTCTGAATATTTCAAATGACGCTCTTGAACAAATTGTGCAACTTGTCACAAATGACAACCTTGATTTGGGTTGTGCTGCTATTGAACAGGCGGCTACAGAGAAGGTTTGGTTTGTGTTAGATATTAGATCTCGGACGTTATTTCTGTTTCAGCTTTTAGATTTATTGAATTAAATGACCAAAGTAGGCAATACAAATTTTTTTGTTTACCAGGGATAATTCCTTCTAGTTACTAGTTTTTATGTCCGTGTCCCTACAGGCAATACAAACAATTGATGCGGACATTGCACAGCAATTGTTGTTACGCAGAAAGCATAGAGATGGTGCTGGATCCTCCTTTTTCGATCCAAACATTCTATCACAAAATTCCGTCAGTTTTATACCTGAATCCCTCCGTCCAAAACCTGGACACCTCTCCCTGTCTCAGCAGCGAGTTTATGAGGTGCTGTTTTTAACATGTAGTTGCCTCTGGTATGTTTTGTGTTTGTATGACTAAACAAGACGTGTGCATTTTCAGGACTTTGTTCAACATCCTTGGCAGAAGCAGTCGACCCAAACGTCACATGGTTTATCTGCTGCATCAAGCTCATCTGGCGATGTTGCGCTTGGTAGTGGGTATGGTCCAGTATCAGGAAAAGTTGCTTCTGAATTTTTGTCTAGTGTTGGAAACGCTCGGATGGACATGGTCTCCCGGCCAACAGATATTTCTGTGGATGGTTTTGAATCTTCCCCAGTCTCACTTTTGAGGTGCTTTGTTGTAAAGCAGATCGATAAAACTGCTTTCATTTCTATTCTCGTATTTCACAGCTGAATGTTAACATATCATTTTACCTGTGTTAAAGCTCACAAGTTGATCCAGCTGGTGACTCATCCAGTCTTCAACTTTCTAAGTCACTACCAACCTCTGAATTGAATCTGGCTGAATCCTCTGACGCTGCTACGAAAGTGAGATATACTCTGTGTTTTCAAATTATTACTCTTTCTTAGGTTTATAATGAATTGCTAAGCTGTGCTTATTTATATATAAGGAAACTGGAACATCACTGCAGACATTGACTTCTGCTACCATGGAACGACTTGGTGGAAATAATATTATACAGCCTTCACTGTCCACGAGAGATGCACTGGATAAATGTCAAATTGTTACTCAGAAGGTTACTGGAGTGGTTATCTTTTGTTTTCCTTGCTGCATTTATTTTGGCTGCTTTATATGTGAGTGACTTCTTGAAACTGTTTCAGATGGAGGAATTAGTGGCTAATAATGCAGGAGATGACGAAATCCAGGTATTTGATTTCCTAGTGCCTAAGTGGTTATAGTGCTGAATCGTTATCCATTTTCGTGCACCTAGAATTAATGAAATTAGAAGTTAATTTTGAAAACCTTTTGTAACTTTTGGAAATGGTTTCTGTGGTTCTTTCAATTGATGCCTATTTGCTTCTATCTCATTGATTTTTCAGGCCGTAGTTTCTGAAGTTCCTGAAATCATCCTCAGATGTATAAGCAGAGATGAAGCCGCTTTTGCTGTCGCCCAAAAAGCTTTCAAGGCTCTTTATGAGAATGCATCAAGTAACCTTCACGTCAGTGCTAACCTAGGAATACTTGTTGCTATTCGTGATGTTTGCAAGCGTGTTGTTAAAGAGCTCACTAGTTGGGTATGTTTACAACCTTTTCAAGATCTAAGCATTCATATCTTTATTGTATTTCACACTTCTCTTATGTGCTTTAGTTCAGCTGTTTCTGAAATTTCTCCATAAATTTGTCACTATTCCTGTCATAACACCTATCATATAAGTGTTAGGTCGAGCCTGTTTCTTGTAGTTGGAGCTTATCCTCAAATGGTTATAGATACGATATTTTTTTTGGTATATTTAGTTATAATTATTTAACTTTCTTCGAACTTCTTGACACAGGTTATTTATTCAGAGGAGGAGCGGAAGCTCAACAAAGATATTACTATTGGTCTAATCCAACGTGAGTTGCTTAGCCTAGCGGAGTACAATGTCCACATGGCGAAGCATCTTGATGGAGGGAGAAACAGTATGCTGAACTGCATATCCTTTGTTTATGTCCTTGTATAGTTACATTTTTTCTTTTTTTTTTTTGCAAGTGAACGTGTCTGACTAGTTGTTTGCTGTGCAGAGAGCGCAACTGACTTTGCTATTTCTCTACTCCAATCTTTGGTCACTGAGGAGTCGAGTGTCATTTCAGAGCTCCACAGTCTTGTTGATGCGCTGGCAAAGGTTGCGATTTTAACATTCTTCTGCAGTCGCATATTCTTGTTCTATTATCAATAATGCTTGTTATAAAAAGAACCAGTTAATAGGTGCGAAAACTTACAACTAGGGAAGGTTTTTTTCTTATGCTTAAATCTGCTGCATAACACTTTTTATCATAGAATGCCAACTGACAGATATTGTGGTTAGGTTCAAATATTTTTTATATGTTTTGCATGTTAAATGTCATGTTTTGGTGTTTATGAAATTTGACATTATTATTTTGGTGGTGCTGCAATTTGTATTCTTGTTTTGGTTGTAGCTTGCCTCAAAATCCGGATCGCCTGAGTCATTGCAACAGCTAATTGACATCATACGAAATCCAGTTACTAACACAGCTGGCCTCTCTGATAGTTCAGCCGGAAATGACAACAATGATAGGCAAAAGGATGAAAAGGTGTCAGATGTCTTCATCACCTAATTTTGCTTGTAATCAGACTGTAAATTTATTTGACATGTTAGCTTTTTATTAGGTTGCGTGCAATATCACCACTAACACAGAAGAGAATACCAGCTTGGATTATGTGGAATTAGATCCTGCGGTTTTCCAGAATCGGGTAATTTGTTTGCATGTTATTAGCGTTCATCAACTTCTATATTGATTAAGAACTTTCCTTTTTTTTTTTTTTCTTAACTTGATTGGGAATTGCATAAATCTAAAATTTTCACTTACAAAACAGTAAAGCAAAAGCTGAAATGTTTGCTTCAGCACAATCAATTTGCAAGCTACAAAAAGGGTTTCAAAACAACCGTTTCTATTATCGTTCAGTATGCATGTTTTTTTTTTCCATAACCTTTTTGTCTTGTAGATGCATTTTAAGTTTCCACTTTAATTCTATGTATTATCTATTTTCTTCATTAAATACATACATGCGTTTACAGTTTGTTATCTCTTCAGTTTTATGTTTGAACATACATCTCTCGTGCGTGCTGTTTATCTCTTCTTTTTGTCTTGGTCTGTATGGTTTGGCAGGTGTCCACGCTTTTTAAAAACTGGTATCAAATCTGCGAACTTCCTGGTGCAAATGAAACCGCTTGTTCACAATACGTCTTGCATTTGCATCAGACTGGACTACTTAAGGGAGATGATACAACAGAGAGTTTTTTCCGAATTCTTCTGGTGATTTTACCTTTTAAGAATGTTTTAGCAGCAGCACTTTCAAAATCTTGACAGGCCTCATTATTAATATTGGCTTTCCTTTCTCTAGGAACTTTCTGTTGCTCATTGTATATCTTCTGAAGATATTAATTCTGGTGCTGTGCAATCTCCTCAGCAACCTCAGAGTCCATCATTCCTTATCATTGATATGTATGCAAAGCTTGTTTTTTCAATATTGAAGGTAAAATGCTCATTTATTTTGATTTCCATTCCTTGTGGATAATTAAGCCCAAAATACATTGCTGGCTAAGCTTTTTTGTTTTGTTTGTTTCTTATGACAATCTGTTCAGTATTTCCCTGAGCAGGAGTCTAGCAGCAAGTTATTTCTTCTTTCAGAGGTAAAGGGACACATACTCTTATTGGAAAAAAGTCTAACTTTTACTATTACGGGTGGAAAAGGTGAGTGGGTTTGATATTGATTACCTGTTTCAGATCATGGCTGCCACAGTGAGATTTATTCACAAGGACGCAGAAGATAAAAAGACATCACTCAATCCTAAACCATATTTCCGATTGTTCATCAACTGGCTACTGGACTTGTGTTCCCTGGATCCTGGGACGGATGGTGCAAACTTTCAGGTGCATTTTGTTGTCCTTGAAGTAGCTGCTATATATTGTTATCACTTTAATTAATCGTTTGTTGCAGGTTCTCACAGCTTTTGCCAACGCCTTCCACGCGTTGCAGCCTCTTAAGATACCTGCTTTCAGGTTAGGACACAAACCTATTTCTCCCCATGCTTCAATTAAAACTTAAAAGTGAATCTCTCAGGAACTTTGAGGGCTGTCAAATACCTATGTCGTGGAATATTTCATGTGGTTGACATATGTGTCTTCTTTTCTTTGATTTATGATCTGTGTTTTATAAAAAAATTTCTTCATCACTGAGGTTCTTATAAAATTTTCCAGCTTTGCATGGCTAGAGCTTGTCAGCCACAGAAGCTTCATGCCCAAACTACTTACAGTAAATGGCCAGAAGGGCTGGCCATATGTTCAACGCCTGCTGGTGGACTTGCTTCAGTTTCTTGAGCCATTTTTAAGAAATGCTGAACTCGGAGGACCAGTTTGTGCCTTTTTCTCTTCTGTAATTGTTTTGCATCGGACACTGAAGGATATAGTCGATGGTAACTTAATGTGGTATCTTTTTTGTTTGTTTATTGATCGTAGGTTCATTTCCTATACAAAGGGACATTGAGAGTGTTACTGGTGCTGCTTCATGACTTCCCAGAGTTCCTGTGTGATTATCATTTTACTTTCTGTGATGTGATTCCTTCAAGTTGCATACAAATGCGGAATATTATCCTCAGTTCTTTTCCGCGGAACATGAGGCTTCCTGATCCTTCTACCCCAAATTTAAAGGTACGAGATGATAGTGGAGATTCCAGCATGTTCATCATATTCTAAAGAAAATATATTCGTTGTAGGCTGAATTATCGTGTTCATTGCAGATTGATTTGTTGCCTGAGATAGTAGAAGCTCCCTGTATCCTTTCCGAGGTTGATGCTGCGCTAAAGGCAAAGCAAATGAAGAATGAGGTGGATGAGTATCTTACGGTAATAGGAACACCTGATTCTTCAATTTACTTATCCTCACTTTGGTATTCTTGAGATTATATCAGGAGATACTCATTAAAATTTTTCTGCAGTCGAGGCAGCAAAATTCAACTTTCCTAAGTGAGTTGAAGACAAAGTTACTTCTGTCGTCCAGCGAGGCTAGTTCAGCTGGAACCCGTTACAGTGTACCATTGATCAACTCGCTTGTGCTATATACTGGAATGCAGGTATGGGTCTAATTACTATACAGTCTTTTTTTTTTTTAAAGTATAGTTTATTGAAATATATGCAAAAAACCTGGTATTGCGATAACAGGCTATTCAGCAGCTTCAGGCCGGTGAGACACAGGCTCAAAATGTTGTGGCCTTGCAGATGTTCAAGTATTTAAGTATGGAACTTGATACTGAAGGGCGGTACCTGTTCCTAAATGCAATAGCCAATCAGCTTCGATATCCCAACAACCACACTCATTACTTTTCTTTCATCATGCTCTATCTGTTCTTCGAATCTGACCAGGTGAGGTTGCTTTGCTTGTCATTGTCAAGAGGAGGTGTGTGGATAAATTAGTGGGCATGGAAATCTGATTTTTTATTTTTTTTTGTTTGGGGGATGAATGAAACAGGAGATCATACAGGAGCAAATAACAAGAGTGCTGTTGGAACGGCTAATTGTGAACAGGCCACATCCATGGGGACTTCTAATCACATTCATTGAGCTAATAAAGAATCCAAGATATGGCTTCTGGAAACAAGCCTTCATCAGATGTGCGCCTGAGATTGAGAAGCTCTTTGAATCGGTAGCCAGATCCTGTGGTGGCCTTAAGCCTGTCGACGAGGGAATGGTCTCGGGAGGTTGGGTCTCAGACAATTCTCATTAGCTCTCTAGCTTTCAACTTGTATATGTATGCGTATTTTGACATTATGTTGTAACAATAATACAGTAGGGGGGAGATTTTAGGAGTCTTAGTTTATTTATTTATTTAGTATAATAGATTCAAAAACATGTTCCGATAACTCCTGAAAGAAAGAAACAAAATTAAAAGATTGGTCCAAATAGAGCTTTTCAAATAAGTTTTCATACATTGGAAAACAATACCACTTACCTTGGTAAATGAGGATCAGTTATACGGCGTTCACGCAACTCCTCCAGTGATAGAAGCTGCAGCAGATAATGGTGAAAAGGAAAACACTTTCAATTTATTGAAACCATTAAATTTGGCGAAATGATTTACCGTATCAGGATCTGGTACAGATGGCATGGTTGACTCCTGGTGATCAAATCCTTGTTGTTCGAACTTTCTCTGTCTGAGTCTCTGGTTTGGGGCTCGAAAGAGCCTACTCATGAGTTCTTCCCGCAAAAAGAATGTGGGTCTTTGAAAGGTGCAGATGACTCAGGCCGGAAAGAAAAGAACAACGAATTTTCAAAGTTTTGAAAGAAAGACCCCCATTCTTCCTGCGGGAAGAACTGTGATTATATATTTGATGAGTGAAGTATGTCTCATTTGTCTAAGTTCTTCATCTGTTTTTTTTTGGGTTTTAAAGTTAGAATTAGGGAAGTTTGACTTTGTTCTCATATTTGAGAATATGTTTGATTCGGTGATATAGTATTTATTGATAGAAAATTCAAATTTCCATGATTACTATATAGCGATCCCAAAACTTATATCTAAAAGCTCACACATTTATTTTGTAACAATCCTTTTATTAGGTGTTCCTTTAAAAGTGTTTGTAAATGTTATGGCGCGAACGTCACAGAAAGATATCCCTTACCAAAGTCAAATCCTCGAGGCAGTTGAAATCTTCTATACGCATCAAACCCTTGGATTTGATCCTCGTTTCTTGATAACACACTATGCTTCGGCATTCGGCAATCGTTATTGTCAGATCTTTTTTACTTGTATAGGCTCTTGCTAAACCTTTTTTCGTTTGTCGTAAATCTTGATCCTTCTAATAAGATTGAGATTTCCACATGAGAAATGAAAAGTGATAGACAAACACGTGGTGACGTAATGATTGAAGCAGTTGTTTCACCAAAACCTTAGTATAAAGCTTTGGATGCTCTCTTCCCAAAGTCCTTGGATGATAAATAAAATGATTAAGCCTCCTCCACATTTGTCTGTAAATCATTGACTTTTCAGCACCACAACCCTTTTTCTTTCCTGTCTGTTTTTTTTTTTTTTTTTTTTTCGATTTCGCTGAAAATATATAAATAAATATAAGGTGGTTAAATTCAATAAACCAAAATAAATAGGGCGGGACATGAATAAATTACATGATTGTGGACAGTCCGATCCCTGTCACGTAGATAACTTAGGTTGTATAATAATAAAACATAGGACTTTATGTAACAGCGACATATGAATACACAAAATCTAATAATAAGTATACTATGTAGGAGATGCGTGTGAGGCGGTCCATAAAGAGAGCCATAGTCCTCGATTCATAATACATATACTATACGAAATATCATTCATTAGTTTGATCCGTGGCCTAATTAGTGAAAGGAAGGGATAGATAATATACATAGAAAAATGGTTGGGGCATGCATTTGGGCCTTTTTTTGGATTCATCCCCACCACACCGTACCGGGAGGTTAGTGCCAGAAATGATCACGTGTGGGCGTCTCTGCTGAAAATTAGGTCGCAGACCCGACGACGCCCAACCACTTTGCCAAAAATCGAACCAAAATAAGACACGTGTACAAAACGATGGAGCCACCCAGCTGGAATCAGGGGAACCAATGGGAGGAGGAATATACATATGCTAGAGTACTCGACTCTCTTTAATCTTAACAAATCCCGTTTTCATGAACTTTTACACAAGAAGCAAGTAACGCGGAGCATACTAGCTACTAGCTACTTGGAAGATTGCTTTTAATATCTCCACGTCTCCTATATAAAATATCATCCATCCGTTATATTTGTGGGGTTAGCCTATCATTTACTAAATATCACAACCGATGCAAGTGCAAATTATTAAATCTCGGTGGGGATACTATAATTTAAATTTGACAAAATTTTGTATGATTTTTAGCTTCAAAATGGGGGACAAACAACCAAATACTGTATTTTTATTATTATTATTATTAATATAGGGAGAACCACGTGGCCGTGAACGATCAGTCACTTTCTAAAATATTGGGTTGCTGTAGTTTTCAAGGAAAATTCCAGCAACATCAACAGACACCAGACAGAGAGACTCAATAATTCAGTTCCCCGAAATGAATAAACGATGAACGAACCACCATGTACCACTACTCTCCCCGGTCTTTGCTTTTAGCAGCAATATTTTTATCCCCTTTCGTCTTTTCACACTTTCATTTTGTAATTTCCCAAGTTAAAAGGAAGAAAAATTAGGAGATAATTAATGATAATAGAATCAGAAATCTGATATGATATATTGTTATTGGTTGATTAGATAATTAAAGCTCTACTCATTAAGTCATGAAAAACAATATTAAAACGACAAACGAGATCAGTGACATGAAATTAAACATAACACATATATAATCGACTAATTCAGATGATAGCAGCTACCGAAGAAGAGTCCTTAAATTTTTATCAATTAAGCATATATAGAAGTAAATTGCTAGCTAGCTATCCGGTTGAGAAAAACATTGAATTTGAGGAGGAAGACGCTGACGTGGAAGACGACGCTGTCGTTTGGAACTGCCTTTGCCGGAAGCACTCCAGTGATATCGTAGTCGGCGCGTTGGACGGCGACGGAGACGCTTTTACACCAGAATCCTTCGGTGACTCTGATCATCATCATCATCATCATCATCATATATATATATTCCCATTAATTAAGTAGCTAGACAAATTTGTAAGATATATGATGGTCATGAGAGAGGTACGTACTTGGAGTTGGCTTGGCGGCGTCTTGGGTGGCGGAGGCAGATTGGTGACATTTACGGCGGCGGCGGTTATGGTCAGCAAGTCGCTTACGGCAGCTCCGTTTTCCGTTGTCGAATTCCGACAGCAAATGGAACCTGTTAGTTTAGATGATGAGAGTTGTTTAATCAAAATGATTTGTTTGACAAAGCCATTGGGATCCCCCACAGTACGAACTTTCTCAATGATTGTTTGTGATCATGATCCTCTCGCAATTATTAATAGAAAAAAAAAAGGAAGCTAACTAACTAAATTATAAATAAAAATAAAAATAGATCTAAACTAGATAGAGAACAAGAGTAAGGGTAGTGATGTACGGACGAAGAGAAGAGAAGAGAGAGCCCCAACCCCACAGAGTCATATGTATGTGAATAAAGAAGGTCAAAGGTGGGAACTTTAGGGGGCACAAACCTGCTGCACTGCTGGCAAAACCTCTGGCTTAGTCCGGCGGCTACAACCGTCGATGCTTTTGAGTGGAACTCGCACACTTTGTGCCGGCGGTGGTAGTGTTTCGCGTGGCTCAGATCCGCGTTGCATCCCTCGGCTTGGCACCGCGGCGTGCTCAGCGAGTTCCCCATCCCTGACTCACCTGGTCTGGACCTCCTGTACAGCCTGCTCACGAAGTCGTCGTCCGCGGCTGAGAAGTACGTACGGCCTCCCAGATTCAGCCCGATCCTGTTGGACGTGAAATCCACTTCTGTCTTGGGGATGAGGAAGTTGTAGGAAGATCCGGATCCCGAGGTCTGGTCGTAGGAGAACAAGGAGGCTGGAGCGGAAGAGTGGGGATGGTACATGGGATCGGAGGCGCCGTAAGGAGTGGTGGTGCGTGGGTCGTACAGGTGATGATGATGAAACATCAGGTTGTTGTTGCTGCTGCTCTGACCGTAGAGGGTGAGGTGATGTTGCTGCTGGTTATTAGAGAAGGAAGAGAGGAGGGGAGGAGAAATGGTGATGTGGCGGTGGTCGTTGTTGTAATGAGAGATGGGGTCGAAAAAGGAGAGGGAGGATCGGGTCGTCGGGTCAGAGTCCGGGTTTCTTTCATCTCCGGAGAGAACAAGGGAGGAAGGATTATCCCATTCGTAGTCCAGCATGTTGCAATCCCGAGGAAGATCTCTCTCTCTTTCTTTTTAATTTGTTTATAAAAAAGAATGAATCAAGAGAGGCTAATAAAGGAAGGGGAGAGGAGACATGTCGGTGCGGAATAGGTTATGGAATGGTTTTAATGGACTGAAAGCAAAGCGACGTACTACACCTCTATTAGAATCATCACACTCTTTCTTTCTTTCTTTCTTTCTTTCCAGTAAACCCTAACTTTTCTATTTGTGGGTGGAGCTCCTTCTCTCTCTCTCTATTGCTCTCTCTCACCATCTCTCTTAAATGTCCCTTTTTAATTCATTTTTTTTTCTTCGTCAAAAAAGAACAGAAAAGAGGTAGCTGTCTGTCTTGTCCTCTACTTAAAAAAAGTGAAGATGGAGAAGAAAGAAACTCACATGGGTCGTGAAAGCAGTGTGTGAGTGTCTGTGCCTATTTTTTTTTTTACTAAAAACAATTTAATTTATTATTTACCAATCATCTGTCCCTTTTTACTACTACTACTTTTTTGAAAGCTTTCTTTGTGATTTGAAATCTTAGTAGCAGTATTAATTAAGGGCGAATAATGGTAACTCTTAATTAGCAAACAGTTGATGGAGACTCTAATTGAACTTTTGTTCGACAAACAAACACATGTATGTAAGGACCGGACACTCAGATTTAAAGTTATACGGCTGGCTATATAGACAGACTCTTCCAATGTTTTCTTATTAACAGCGTATTACGAATGATATACGTTGAATAGCCCCTGCAGGACTTTAAAGAAAAAAAAAAAAAAAAGGGTGTGTATAGTATTGGTGATCGTGTGGTTAAGGATGAACAAGAGTAAAAACGCGTTTGTTCCCCAGCTGGGCCTCTCTCTCTCTCTCTTTTCATTACATTTGTTTTTTTTTTTTTTAATTTTTTAATGAGAATGATAAATCATAAATCTCGCATCGTCAATTAATTACATGTTTACACATGATTTTTTTAAGAAAAGATAAAATAAAATATCTATTGTTGCACAAGCTAAGGTTTGAATTAACAAAAAAAAAAGAAGAAGATAAGGCCAAGAAAGAGAGCGAGAGAGAGAGGGAATGGAGGGTGTTGGGGTTTAGAAAGACAGGATGGCAAAAGTGTAAATAGATGGCAAGTAGGAGGTTGATCGTTTTAGGGAGGACAGAGTGACCGATCGTCGTATCACGCACCCCCTCTCTCAATAATTTTATTATACTCTCTCTCGCTCACGCGCCATTTCTGCCTCTAAGCTACTTACTAATCGACGGTCCCGATTAATCGGATGGTGATCACGTGGCAGCACAGGGGAGAGAGTAGGGTTTAGCCGAGCGTAGCCAAGGTTTTGTTTGTAATTGGAAATGGTGTGGGGCCCCTCTTTTTAGGTGCTCAAAGGCTGCCATCGACGTTGACCCCCAAACTGTACGGACTCATGTCTCTCTTTTTTTTTTTTTTTTTTTTAATTATAAACCCAAAAAACAAACTTTCTATTTTCATATTTGGTTCGGGATTATTTATATGCATAATCCTGTCTTTTCTTCTTTATTTTTTTTTACAGTGTACAATATTGAAATGCCGCTCCTACTACAACTTATTCTGATGGTACGCTCTACGCTGTCAGGAGGCTTTTTTATTCACTCAAAGTAGACAATTGATAGTACTAACTAACTCCTTAAAATGAAAACCTCTTAATCACTCTAACCATAAGCTAGCTCATTTCTAATTCCACATAACCAAAAAAAACAACATAAATGCAACATCCATAATTTATTCAACCGATTATGTTGTTGATATTGGAGGAATTACCTGCGTTTATGAGCTAGTAAAAAAACATGCATATGAATAGAGAAAAAGGCAAAAGAAAAGGAGGAGGATAATGCTACACCAAACTTGTTGCCTTGTCAACATCTCTCTCTTAAATTTGTGAGACCACTTTTATTGCACTTGTTTCTCACACTCATTTGTCATTTGTGTGGGTCCATCTCTCTATTTTGGGCCTCAAGTAGCTGGAGCAAAAAGGAGCCCATTTAGAATGGGCTTTAGAGATTGAAGAATGTGTTCGCCGGAAGGAAGGCAGTTTTGTCACGGTGGACGTCTGCCATATTTCGCGGCGATGGTTTCTTCTGTCCCTAAACTCCATGCTTTGTTTGTCGCCAAGTCTCTACCAGTAGTTATCCGAGCCGCCAAAATTACCAATGAAGAAGGTTCTGCGTCGACCAAATCAAAACTCGCCAGGTCCTTGGCGCGTGCCGTGAACTCTAACCCGTGGTCGGACGAACTCGAGTCTTCACTCTCATCTCTTCACCCGTCTGAACCTCTCTCCAGAACCACCGTTCTCCAAACCCTGCGTCTCATCAAGGTCCCTGCCGATGGTCTCCGGTTCTTCGACTGGGTTTACAACAAGGGTTTCTCTCACAAAGAGCAGTCTTTCTTCCTCATGTTAGAGTTCCTAGGTCGAGCTCGCAATCTCAATGCGGCTCGCAATTTCTTGTTCTCCATCGAGAAAAGGTCTAACGGCTGCGTCAAGCTCCAGGATCGCTACTTCAACAGCTTGATTAGGAGCTACGGCAACGCTGGGCTCTTCCAGGAGTCAGTGAACCTGTTCCAGACCATGAAGAAGATGGGCATCTCGCCTTCCGTGCTTACCTTCAACAGTCTTCTCTCGATTTTGCTTAAGCGTGGCCGAACTGGAATGGCCCATGACATGTTCGACGAAATGCGCCGTACCTACGGGGTTACCCCAGATTCCTATACTTTCAATACATTGATAAGTGGGTTTTGCAAGAACTCCATGGTCGACCAAGCCTTTACGATTTTTAAAGAAATGGAGCTTTATAGTTGCAATCCTGACGTTGTTACATATAACACGATCATCGATGGGTTATGCAGAGCTGGCAAGGTCAAGATTGCACACAATCTTTTGAATGGAATGTTGAAGAAAGCAACGGCTGTGCATCCCAACATTGTTAGTTACACTACTCTGCTGCGAGGCTATTGTATGAAGCAGGAAATTGATGAAGCACTGCTTGTGTTTCATGAAATGCTGACCAGAGGGCTAAAACCCAATGCTGTAACTTACAATACTCTGATCAAGGGGCTCTCGGAGGCTCATAGATATGATGAGATCAAAGGATTTTTGATTGGAGGGGACGCATTTACCACTTTCTCTCCAGATGCCTGCACTTTTAATATTTTGATCAAAGCCCACTGCGATGCTGGACATCTGGATGCAGCAATGAAGGTGTTCCAAGAAATGCTGAATATGAAGTTGCATCCTGATTCAGCTTCTTATAGTGTTTTGATTCGTACTCTGTGCCTGAGAAATGAATTTGATAAAGCCGAGACATTATTCAATGAGTTGTTTGAGAAGGAAGTATTGTTAGGTAAGAATGAATGCAAGCCTCTTGCTGCAGCTTATAACCTAATGTTCGAATACTTATGTGCCAATGGGAAAGCAAAACAAGCGGAGAAAGTTTTTAGGCAGCTGATGAAAAGAGGAGCGCAAGATCCATCCTCTTACAGGACTTTGATCACGGGTCTCTGCAGAGAAGGTAAATTCAAGGCTGCTTATGAGCTGTTGGTTCTAATGCTGAGGCGGGAATTTGTTCCTGATCCTGAAACCTACGAGGTATTGATTGATGGGCTATTGAAGATAGGTGAAGCTCTTCTTGCTCATGATACCCTACAAAGGATGCTAAGGAGCTCTTATCTTCCGGTTGCAACCACTTTCCATTCTGTACTTGCAGAACTTGTGAAAAGGAAATTTGCTAACGACTCTTTCGGCTTGCTAACGGTAATGTTGGAAAAACGAATAAGACAGAACATTGATCTTTCAACGCAGGCTGTCAGATTGGTTTTTAGTAGTGCACAGAAAGAAAAGGCATTTCTGATTGTTAGGTTGCTTTATGATAACGGGTATTTGATTAAGATGGAGGAATTACTTGATTTCCTCTGCGAGAATCGAAAACTGCTTGATGCACACACACTTGTTCTGTTTTGTCTGGAAAAGAGTCAAATGGTAGATATCGACACGTGTAACACGATCATAGAAGGACTCTGTAAGCATAAGAGACACTCTGAAGCGTTTAGTTTGTACAATGAATTAGTAGAACTAGGAAATCACCAACAGCTTAGCTGCCACGTGGTTTTGACAAATGCCTTAGAGGCTGCTGGAAAGTGGGAAGAACTTCAGTTTGTGTCAAAGAGGATGGCTACAATGAGAAAATCAGATAATTGCGCTGTATCAGAATGAAGGATATCCACTTAAATCTTCTTGAGCTGGAGGTTAGACCGTGCATCTGGTTTCTGGTAAATGGGGTCCTTTCTCTTTGTTTCCGTTTTCAATTCTGTGTCTAGAATTATCCATTGCCAATTGTAAAATTTTTGCCCCTCAGCAATTAAACAAGTTTGTATTCATCGTCTCTGTTACAGGTCTCTATGGACGTTGCAACTCTCTGTTCATAACTTTCACCTTCATGGTACCTATTAATTACCAAAGTAGATTAGGCTTGTATTACTTATCCCGGGAAAATAGGTTTCATGGTGTTTTTTGCATTTCTAACCAACACAGGCCAAAGAATCACCAAACCCTAATAAAATAACCAGTTCTCTCTTTCCATGACCCTCACTCATCAGCACCAAACTCTCCCCAAGAAAACCCTCAACCCTTCCTTTATAATCCTTTGCTTTTGCTAATATTCTGCATCCACCATCTTTCTTCCCAATATCTTATTGAGTTTTTTCCTTCTGCGCTTGAAAAAAGATGTCGAATTCTAGAATGAATGGTGTTGAGAAGCTAAGCAGCATATCCACAAGGCGTGTCGCAAATCCCGGAAAGGCAACACTGCTTGCTCTTGGCAAAGCCTTCCCAAGCCAAGTCGTTCCTCAGGAGAATCTAGTGGAAGGATTTCTACGAGACACCAAATGTGAGGACGCGTTTATCAAAGAAAAGCTGGAACACTTGTGTAAGCCTCAGTCTCTTTATATATATTTTTAACGCAGCAACGCAGCTGTACTCTATTGTGAAATGCGAAAGCTTGCCAATATTTTCTGCTGTTGTTTAGGCAAAACCACAACCGTGAAGACGCGCTACACGGTATTGTCACGAGAGATACTGGATAAATACCCTGAGCTAACAACAGAGGGTTCACCAACAATCAAGCAAAGACTTGAAATTGCAAACGAGGCGGTTGTGGAAATGGCATTGGAAGCCAGTTTAGGCTGCATCAAGGAATGGGGAAGGCCAGTGGAAGACATCACTCACATTGTCTACGTTTCCTCAAGCGAGATACGATTACCCGGTGGTGACCTTTACCTCTCAGCAAAGCTAGGCCTGAGGAATGACGTGAACAGAGTGATGCTGTATTTTCTGGGATGCTACGGAGGTGTGACTGGCCTCCGTGTGGCCAAAGACATTGCTGAGAACAACCCGGGAAGCCGTGTTCTGCTCACAACCTCTGAAACCACCATTCTCGGGTTTCGCCCACCAAACAAAGCTCGTCCGTACGACCTAGTTGGAGCTGCTCTGTTTGGAGATGGTGCAGCTGCTGTGATCATCGGAGCTGATCCGAGAGAGTGTGAAGCTCCTTTCATGGAGCTGCACTATGCGGTTCAGCAGTTCTTGCCGGGGACACAGAACGTGATCGACGGGAGGTTGACGGAGGAAGGCATAAACTTCAAGCTTGGACGAGACCTCCCGCAGAAGATAGAGGAGAACATAGAAGAGTTCTGCAAGAAGCTGATGGGAAAGGCTGGTGGTGATGAGTCGATGGAGTTCAATGACATGTTCTGGGCAGTTCATCCAGGAGGACCTGCGATTCTGAACCGTCTGGAGACAAAACTAAAGCTGGAGAAAGAGAAGCTGGAGAGCAGCAGAAGGGCGTTGGTGGATTACGGGAACGTGAGCAGCAACACGATACTGTATGTGATGGAGTATATGAGAGAGGAGCTGAAGAAGAAAGGCGATGAAGCACAAGAGTGGGGACTTGGCTTAGCTTTCGGACCTGGAATCACCTTCGAAGGCCTTCTCATCCGCAGCCTCACCTCTCCCTAATTGTCATAATTTACATTTGGGTTATTATAAGAGAAATTATTGTAAGCATATGATGAAATGAGAGTATTGTTGTTAAACCATGCACATTCTATATAGATGCATGTGACTAGGAATGTTGGAAAAAGTCAAAAGTTGCACCACGTGTCATTAAAGCAAGTGCTCAGCTACTTGGAACCACATGAACAAGAAGACACCAAACCCGTTACTTCCACTAAAAAAAAGGGCTTTCTCCTTTTTAATTCACACCAAAACACTTTGAACACACACATGCATGGAGTCATGAACTCGTCATGCATTGATTTCGTAATGTTCAGTCGCGGACAACACGATGAGGACAACATGTCACGTCGTCCATGGAAGAGGGAGAGATCGATGCCCACTCAGCATCATCATCATCTTAACTTGTCTCCAAACGAAGATGAGGAGCTCGCCAACTGTCTTGTGTTGTTGTCCAATTCAGGGGATGCGCATGGTGATCATCATAAACAACATGGACATGGTAAGGCCAAAACCGTCAAGAAGCAAAAAACCGCTCAGGTTTTCCAATGCAAAGCTTGCAAGAAGGTGTTCACGTCGCATCAGGCATTGGGTGGACACAGGGCAAGCCACAAGAAAGTGAAGGGTTGTTTTGCCTCTCAAGATAAAGAAGAGGAAGAGGAAGAGGAATACAAAGAAGACGACGACGAGGACGAGGACGAAGATGAGGAGGAGGAAGAAGACAAATCAACGGCTCACATCGCAAGAAAGAGATCCAACGCTCACGAGTGCACCATCTGCCATCGCGTCTTCTCTTCGGGACAGGCCTTGGGAGGCCACAAGAGATGCCATTGGCTAACACCTTCCAATTATCTTCGTATGACGTCGCTCCACGATCATCACCATTCCGTCGGTAGACCGCAGCCGTTAGATCAACCATCTCTCGATCTCAACTTAGCTTGCCAAGAGTATTCCGTTGATCCAACGGCCATGAGCGTAGGGATGATCGAGAGAGATGGTGGTGGCAATAGTCACAACGCCACTTCATCTTCATGGTTAAAACTCGCAAGTGGTGATTGGTCTTGACGACTGACTAATTAATTAAGTTGCTAATTATATTCTTTTAACTTTCATTCGTTTATATCCTTTACATACAATTAAGTGCATGAATTTATACACTTGTATGGATTTTATAATGAATTACACTATACGCCATCTGCAGTGCTTTACTGTTTTAATTTTAGAGAGCCATGTATAATAGGTTGCTCTTGCCCAATATATATAGAAAGTAAGAAATTAGTATTACAACTAGTTAATATAAGACAGAATGATCACCAATAATTGTATCATCTCTTTTTCTGGAAAGCAAATAAGTATGTACATTGAAAAAAGATAACCAAGGGGGTAATGGGGTATACTTATTCACACCCTCTATATCAAAATAATTGATGTTAAATAAATCATTTTTTAAAATAGAAACATTACTTACTGTCTATCCAAACACAATTCAACCAATGATAAACAAACTGATCCATTACAAATTGTCACAATTTTTTTTTAATAAATTTTGCATAGAAAAGTAAGTACATCAGTTAATTTGATGCAAAAGAATTTCATAAACACATCAATTATTTTGGTACCGAAAGAATCTATATGAATATATATTTTAGTTTTGGGGGGTGATATAATTTACTTGTTTAGCCATCAAGAAGGAAATATAATTTTGAAACCTGTCGACAAAAATTTGGAACTTCGAAATTAATAAGCCGATTAAAAAGAATCACAAAGAAGAAAATATCAAAAATAAACAAACAACTATCACGTATCAAATAACTCTCGTGATCAACCAATATATATTTTGACCAAAACGCTCTTACTACACCGAAAACGCATGAACATTAGTCAACATAATTGATAAATTTGGTGGGTCTTCTTAATTAATTAAGCACGATTGCAAGGAAGGGGTCATTTCTCTCGCATATAAAATATTAACGAGTTGTTGCCATTACAAGTTATGAACTTTTGATTTTAGGAAGCCAAAAGTCAAAAGTTCATAACTTGTACATGTCTTCAAGTTAATTTATTTTATTTCTCTCACATATAATATATCATATACCAACCATCAGCTGAAAACTAGGATTAGCGGTGGGAATTTGGTTAATGTCAACTGATATCCTCCGATCTCTCTTTGAGAAAAGCTCAAGCAAAGTATATGACTCTTTGGGACACTCAAAAGATAATCAATTAACTTGAAGACATGTACTCTAAAGTCTCTAGTCAACAATTGACACATATAGACATAAGTTACAAAACGCTATTGATACAAGGAAGTTTTTAAAATTTGATTTGTAATCTTCTAAATGGCTATGGCTTTATACAGGCAAATCGTGAACTATTTGAGAAGTCTGTTGACTATGTTGAACATGAGAGTTATGAGGCTTACAGCTTACTGTGTACACATGAGCCAAGATGGAGCTTGGGGAGATTATATCCAGCTACAAGCAGCTGCTAATATCACACTCATTGGAATACGTGTACACCGGGATAACTTTCCAAGTAACGAAATCATGCCCAAGGTGTCTAACGGACGCATGATCAACTTGTAAGTTCTTATATCTTAGTCAATTGAACTACTTAACAGATTTGTTCACCATGTAACAAATTTACCCGTTTAGATCATACCATAGTGGGAACCACTACAACAGTGTTTGTTCGAAAGATGAAGATGCGATTCATCAGAAGACCACCACGGTTTGGTGGGATTACGAGAACGCAAAAATCACAGTCAGTATGGATCACGAGCTAGCGCTTGATCGGATCGTGAAAAAAACTTAGAGGAATATGAATTTGGACAAGTAGAGCTTAGGCTGGTCGTTGGCTTTCATAACTCACCTCACCTAAAATTTCCGAGCAACATTCCAATCATCTATGGCAATAAGTGTAAAAGTAAGTTGTTCACTACCTATCATTTGATTGGGATGAAATTTGGAATGAGTATACTTATGATATGAACTGTTCAATAGGAGATAACCCTCATACAATTGTGGTTATGGTTCATCTTGATTAATAAAACAACACTTGTTGTGCTGTCTCTAGGATGAGAATGTGAAAATACTCGTGTGCATTTCAAGTCCACTCAAAAAATAATCAATTAATTTGAAGACGTGTACTCTAAAGTCTCTAATCAACAATTGACACATATAGACATAAGTTACAACGCTATTGATACAAGGAAATTTTGGTCTAGTAAGGCGTAATAACGTCTCAACGAGATACTCGTAGTTTAAATAATTTAGACATGCATGCTTGGAAATATTGTTCATTGCCATATGTATTTCACATCATATATATTTCTAGAGATGCACCATTCGATTTTACCTTTTATATAATTTATGCTTTCCATGGGTGTAAGTCTATAATTAACCTTCTTATTCAAAAGGACATGCACTTGATTTAGTTGAATTCCAGAAATATACATAGAGTATACCTAATTGAATAACTTTTTAACGCAAATAAACGATGTGGTGTACACGTTTTAGAATAGAAGAACTTACACTTGTGTACTATAATACATGCATGCATGGTTAAATTAAAGTAACAATTACCTTTGATGACCCAAATTTTTTTGGAGAAAATATATTTGTTAGCAGAAATTTGTAGAGTAATGAAATGTGGATTCTTATATTGAAAATCATCCAAATAAAAAGATGAAAAGAGGAGAGTCAAAGACAGCACTAACTTTAGGAGGCGGGAAGCAGAGCCGGACCAAAGAAATTTGGGGCCCATACGAATAAAAAAAAAATAGCATCGTAGTTTTTTTTTTGGTTCAAAAACATCATATATAAAAAAAAATTATAATAAAAACAATCACTTTAAGCAAAACTCTTGATTGTTTTAGAAATTTTTAAAGTAAAAACTTACTTTTTTAAATAATTCAATTATTTATAATAATTATAAAAAAGTTTAGACACATACAATATATATATATATAACCAAAAATATATATAGGTTTACAAAAAAAAAAAAAAAAAACCAAAAATATTATGTGGGGCCCCTCTAAAAATGGGGGCTCCATTGCATTGTTTCATAAAACTTTGCTCCGGTCTGGCTCTGGCGGGAAGTCAGCAGTTAAGTCACACGTGTCAGTGTATGATTTGAGGAGAGTTGGTGTATTTGTCAAAGACATTAAAGTTTGGTAAATTAGATTTAGAGTCGGCCGTCTCTCACCTATGACAACATAGGCATTTGCCATGGGTTAAAAACTTTTTAAAAAAAAATTATTGAAGAAAAAGGGTCTAATTTTTAGAATTTTTTTTTTTTTAGTAAGAGAATTTTTTTTTTTTTTTAGTTTTGCCAAGGGTCCTCCCAAAGATTGAGACGGTATTTCAAAGGGTGTGTGGTCAGTGGTAGTGTTGTTCGTCGTTACAACAAACATATATCAATAGTTTTGGTTTACAAAAAAAAAGTCAGCGGGAGGAATTAATAGAGAAATAAAGGGGCTGAGAGTCGCATGTTACATGTTTGATCAACCGCTCTTCACTTCACCAATACTCCTCTTTTTTTTTTCTTTTTTTTGCTCAATAAATTAACAAAAACATAACTGATAATTATATAGTAGTATATACTGATATTTTACAGGCTTATTATTTATGTTTACACAACAGACAGATAAGACTTTATTTAGCCGTTTCTGATATTAAAAAAGAAAGTAAACTGCTTTCATTGATATTCTTAATTATCCCATTAATTATTTTCCTTAAAAAAAAACATTTACTTGTTGTTGGGACTTGGTATATTAGCTCAAGTGTTGGTGGAAGAGTGCTTGTAACCTACTCCGACTTCTTCTTCTTCTTATTTCACTGCCTTTATTTCTCTCCTTTTTCTCTTTTCTTCTATTTTTGGTCTGTTTTGGTAGATTGAGGAAATGGAAGAGAGGCATAAGTGCAAGTTATGTTGGAAGAGCTTCGCTAATGGAAGGGCTTTGGGAGGTCACATGAGGTCTCACATGCTCCCGAGTCAGCCCGAGTCAGCTTCATCTTCCATGGCCGATCCACTCCAGGACAGAGAGAGTGAAACCGAATCGTCCAAGAAGCCCACCCGCAAACGATCCAGACTTAACCGGAGATCCAACGAAGAAGGGAAAAGTGAAACCGCAGGAGCAGCAGAGGTGAAGATCGGGGTTCAAGAACTCAGTGAGTCGTGTACCGAGCAGGAACCGATGAGCTCGGTGTGTGACGCTGCAACAGAGGAAGAAGACGTGGCCTTGAGTCTCATGTTGCTGTCGAGAGACAAGTGGGAGAAGGAGGAGAGAGGGAAGAATAATAAGTGGTTCGAGTGCGAGACTTGCGAGAAAGTGTTTAAGTCGTATCAGGCGTTAGGTGAACACAGAGCAAGCCACAGGAAGAGGAGAGCAGAAACAGATCAATTAGTCTCAGATGAGTTGAAGAAGAAGAAGAAAAAGACTAGTCACCATGAATGTCCAATCTGTTCCAAGGTCTTCTCATCTGGTCAAGCTCTCGGAGGTCACAAAAGATCTCACGCTTCGGCCAGCAATGATGAATCCACGATCAGAAGATCAGGAATAATAATCAGCTTGATAGATCTAAATCTTCCAGCGCCATCGGAGGAGGAAGACATGGCCTCGTCACGCTTGATCAGATTATTGGTCAGTAATTACCACCTTTTATGCCAAGTAATGTAGTAAAATTGAAGACAATTTTGATGTAGAGTCGTAGAGATGTGGTCAAAGAACACAAGTGAGTTAGGTAGTAGTAATGAGGGAAATCATGTGATAGTCGGTTTTGTGTGGGAAAATGGTAAAGCATGAAAGCCTGAGTGGTTTGTTGTTAATTTGCTCAAGTCGTTATGCCAATGCCCCCAAACTCTCTTTTTTTTTTTTTTTTTTGAACTCAGACACCAAAAAAGCTTTCACGAGTCACGCCATAGATTGCACTTTCTTCTTTTTATGTTAAAAAAAGAAAACAAAAGTGCAATTGTTCCCCGAGTCAAAGAAATCACATGTAATTTTGGTTAACCCTTAACCGGTCCATATCTGAACCGGTTCGGTACAAAAATCCTATAATTTCTGGGAATTCCAGAAAGAGTAAAGGAGAAGGAAGAATGACGATTTCGTGGAGGTTAGCGTCTTCGACCTCTCTTCTCTCCATCCATCGCACACCAACAAGTGCCTTTATCTCCGCCATGACCTTCTCTTCTTCTTCTTCTTCTTCTTCGCTTGAATTGGTTCTCGAGTACCACAACCAGACGAAGCACTCCTTCACCGGTTACGCGAGAGGTCCTCGTGGTCTCGACTGGGCCAATCAGCCTAATCCCTTCCGCCGTTACCTCTCTGCTCCTCTTCTTCCTCTCCAACACCCCAATCACGACGATGACGACAACGACGACTCTCCTCTCTACTCTTGTCTATTCGACTCGCTTCCTCCGCCCAAACCCATCTCTCTCGCTACCATCTCTCACCTTTTCTACCATTCTCTCGCTCTCTCCGCCTGGAAGACCACCGGATCCTCCACCTGGCCCCTCCGCGTCAACCCCAGCAGCGGTAACTTGCATCCCACCGAGGCCTATCTCATTGCTCCTCCCATCCCTTCCCTCTCCCAATCCGCTTTCGTCGCCCACTATGCTCCCAAAGAGCATTCTCTGGAGGTTAGAGCTCACATCCCCTCTTCCTTTTTCCCGGAGAATTCTTTTCTCATCGGCATTTCTTCTATCTTCTGGCGTGAAGCTTGGAAGTACGGAGAACGAGCGTTTCGGTACTGTAACCACGACGTCGGCCACGCCATTGCCGCTCTCTCCATTGCAGCCGCAGAGCTTGGCTGGGACTTGAAGCTTCTCGACGGCTTCGGAGCTGATGATCTCAAGAGGCTTATGGGGCTCCCTGAATTTCAGATACCTTCTTCTTCAGGTAAAGGTAAGCTCCCTGAGATTGAATTCGAGCATCCTGACTGCTTGCTCCTTGTTTTCCCCAACGGAACTAGTAGAGGAGATCTCAACTTAGACTACCTCGGAATTAGCTCTGCCCTAAGAGACTTCCCAAGCCTAGAGTGGAATGGAAACCCCAATACTCTGAGCAAAGAGCATCTGTGTTGGGATATCATCTATAGGACAGCCAAGGCTGTAGAAAAGCCTTCATTGATCTACTCAACATCTTCTTCATTTGATGCTCCCTTCACAAGCAGTGCTCTGTTTAGCCACACTTCTTATAACAAGTTAACGGCCAGGCAAGTTGTAAGGACGAGAAGAAGTGCTGTTGATATGGACGCTGTTACTTGTATAGACATGTCTGCGTTTTACCAGATATTGATGCACTGTCTTCCTTCTGGCTCCACGAGAGGGGAGCCCCAAAAAGAGCAACTTGCGCTGCCGTTTCGAGCTCTTCCTTGGGATACTGCTGAGGTTCATCTTGCCTTGTTTGTTCACAGAGTTTTGGGTTTACCAAAGGGACTGTACTTCCTAGTCAGAAACGAGGATCATCTCAGCGATCTCAAGACAGCTACGAGGCCTGAATTTGAGTGGAAGAAACCAGATGGATGCCCAGCCGATCTTCCTCTATACAAGCTCACCGAGGGTGATTGCCAGAAGCTGGCAAAAGGGCTATCATGTCATCAGGTACGGATTCGGATAGAGTTGTGATACAATATATATCACTTGGTTGCTGAATCATTGTGGTTGATGGATGCAGGACATTGCAGGGGATGGATGCTTCAGCCTAGGTATGGTAGCTCGGTTTGAACCAGCGCTGCGGGAGAAGGGCTCATGGGTGTACCCTCGACTGTTCTGGGAGACGGGTGTTATTGGGCAAGTTTTGTACCTGGAAGCACACGCAATGGGGATCTCAGCAACCGGGATAGGGTGCTATTTCGATGATCCAGTGCACGAGGTTTTGGGGATAAAAGACTCTAGCTTTCAGAGTCTGTACCATTTCACTGTGGGAGGTCCAGTTGTAGACAAGCGGATCATGACTCTTCCTGCTTATCCTGGTCCTACCACCACCGTTGCCTAGATCATACATACTCGTTAATCTGTGTTGAATCCGTAAACAGCTTTCATTTTGTGTTCTAATCTTAGTCAGTTTACAGTAGCTGATGGTAAATATCCAATTCTCGTGGAATTTTATATTTCTTGTTTTTTTGGGGAAATGGTAATTCTTTGTTTGGTGACATTGCTCTAAAACAAATTTGGAGATAAATCTCATTTAAGATGAGTATCTTGAACATGATGCTAGTCACAATAGAAATTCTCAAATTCAATCGTAGAGTTGGCAAAAGATTTGCTATATAGCAATCGTAGAGTTGACAAAAGATTGCTATATAACTCCAAACTTAAAAATTAACTAAGAGCAGAAGAATCAATAGATAGCCAAAAGTTAGAAAAGAAATTAGAAGGTAGCATCTTCATTTTTTCCATTAAGTCGACGACGTAGAGACTAATATATAGAGTTTAATTGTGACACAAAAGTATATAGAGTATGAACCAAAATGATCCATATGAAGAATAAAAATAAGCGAAAGGCGAGGGTTTGGGATCAAGGAGAAACAAGAACAATAAAAAAAAAGTCTTCACCATAACGTTTCTACTAACCTGATCCCAAGTCTTGTCTCTGGACAAGATTTACTTATCCACTCTTCTTTCAATTGCAAAATTATTAGCCTTATTTTTTCTTCTCCTAAATACATTTTTGAGACTCAAGCTGTGTCAAATTCACCAGTATTGTGGTTTGAAGGGCTGGGCAGGAGCCCCTTGTATGTCTTTTTCCGACAGCAATTTCAGCTTCTGCGAAAACATTTAAAACAGTTGGAATTAAGAATCTTTTAGATTCCTTATAAATCAGTCAGTCTTTGAGGTTCCATGGTATATTTAGCCAATCATCAACTGTTAAAAGGAATATGTGGTGTTACCGTGATGTACTGTGGGGGATCGTCGAAACTAGTGGAGCCTAGTACCACTTCTCTCCTCAAACTGCTTGTCAACTTGTGGCAAACTCGGAGCTGTCAAAAAGTTATGCCAATGTTGACACAAGATTTGATAAAAAGAAACATATATAGCAATTCATTTAAGGTCGGATTTGTTTGAATGTATACCTCGGATCGAGTTGCCCCACCAATAATGAATACAAAGATGCGCTGCCCCAGCTTCTTGAAGTCCGTAGAAGCACTTTTCAACACTGAGTCACTGAGTGTGAAGAAAGATATGAACTACTCTTAGCAAAAACCCAAGCTCCTCTAAAATGGACCAAAAAATAAGAAATCATGATGTAAAATAGAATGCCTGGAGTATCCATCGTCAGAAGACTGAGGACGCGCCCAAGTTGCAGTTCGTCTTGATCTCATAGAATGAGGGGTGGCTTTTCGCTCTGGAACCGCTGTAGGAGCAGAACTCTTCCTTACTGACCCTGTTCTTGGTTCACTCTCCTCCTTATGACTTGATTGATTCATACATAGATAGTCGCTTTTAGATAGATCGCCTTTCACGAGTTTCTCAAGCAGCTCCTGCAACAACAACATAGCAAAGATTTATCACAGCCACTTCATGATTACATAGTGGATATGTAACTTATAAGCCGGGTGTTCATCTACCTCTATCATGGGATAAAACCGGAACAGTTGCCATGTTTCTTCTTCACCAGATCGATCTTTCCTGTTTGCTTGTTTTGTCTACACCAAAAGAGTATACATAATCGTCAGATTCTTCTTCTTATTCTCGGTAACTAGTGTCGATTTTTCATAACTAAACTGAATCTGTTACCTTTCCAGCGTCAAATTTGAGGGAGAAACTACCGGACTTAGCCTTGTTTTCTGGAGATCCAGCTATCAATTGCATGTTGCTTATAACCTTCATATCCACAGGTGATAATCTAGCAAGCTGATAAAGTAAATGCATTATTTGTTTAGCGAGCTGTTCCATGCATTACAAGGGGTTCTCAATCACACCAAAAGCTACCTGCATTAGCTTTACACCCTTGTCACCTTCAAACTTCTCGGGGTACACTGTTGCATAAATCATCAATAGCCGTAATTTGTTTTCCGGGTTTGTGTCCTGTATTTTAAATATATGCTGTGTCATTTCAAACACTAAAGCAATGCGGCTATGAAGTTTTTTTGTCATGTTTCAAACTTATTCACCTGATTTGTCCTCAGAAAGTTGATAACGTCCTTGGCACCTGCATCTCCAAAAACAAGATCTTGTTCCAGCTGCCCTAGATCCCGAAGGCCTGTGTCTCTGATTATTCTATTAATTTTTCCAGCTAGCTGAATTTGATTATAAAGTCTCTGATTATTCTATTAATTTTTCCAGCTAGCTGAATTTGATTATAGTTTTACAGCAAGATAAAAAGAAGAGAGAGAGACATGATGAGTCCTTCATAAGATATATAGGTTGTATAAAGATTCCACAGGACATGCCAGGCATTGGTTCCCTTCTCTTAAAAAGTTCTTCTACCACTGACGATGATGATTCCACAGGACATGAACACAAGAGACAAACATACATTGGAAACTAAATAATGAATGACATACAGGAAATGCCTTGATCAGTGATATCAGCCATCTTGCAGGACTCAGACATTACTTTGACCGTAACAAAATCCAAATTCCAAAATCAATGTATTCAAAAACAATTCCATCATACATTCCTATAAGAGTTGAACCGTTTACTAAATCTTCATCTTGAAGATTATAGAAATGTTTATATCAAAGGCCGTATGGCACTGACTAGCTGCACATACACTTCTCTACATGTCACATCCTGCTTCTTCTTCACCACGACGTTCCATCTGTTACCGAATACTCTTTGGAAAGTAAACGTACTCAATGGTCTACCAAGCCTCTGCAAAAACGGAGTTCGTGTTAACTAATTATGTAAAACACAAATTTATTGACTAGTGAACCACTTTCTTACCCTTGCTAATTCTTCTTGGACATCACGGCTAATTTCTCCATCAACTGCTACTGGTGCATGAATGGAAACACATATATCGTTGATGTTTGTGATCCTTGGAACTTGGACGTGGTGAACCAGCTCAAGGACAAATTGAACTGATCCACAGTGCAGCAATGAAATGCACATGGGAATTTTCACATTCTCATCCTGGAGACAACACAAGATTTGTTAGGAAATTTTCAGTGAAAAGGAGAAGAGGATTAGAGAGAAATTACGGCGCAAGAGAACATCATACCTTTGCGTTAGCTATTACATTCTGCCTAGCCTCAAAAGACTTCTTATGAAGGTCTTTCTTGTGAGTTCTACTTCTAGCTTTCTTCGTAGCAGCTTGTTTAGATTCCTTGAGACTCTTAATGATTGGGACTTTTGGTTGACCAAAAACCTTCGACCATTTCAGTTGAAGTAGTACACGGGAATCATTTAGGTTGCCTGTGGAAATCATCATAACTCGATGGCCAGCACCTATCAACTTGGTTATGTGATTACAGTAGCCACAGTCACCTGAAATGAACACATGGTTTTCAAATTGAGTAGGAGTCTCATCCGCATACATCTCTTTTATCTTCACATCTGCAGCTTGGTTACCCTTTGTGACTATCTTTTTAGATCCTGAAATCAAACAGTTCACATTCGAATGATTACAATCATAAGTGTAATCATTCCAAATTTCTTCCCAATCAAATAGGTAGTGAACAACTTACTAGTACACTTATTGGCAAAGATGATTGGAATGTTGCTCAGAAATTTTGGGAGAGGTGAGTCATGATAGCCAACGACCAGCTTAAGCTCTACTTGTCCAAATTCATATTCCTCAAGCTTTTTCACGATCCAATCAAGTGCTAGCTCGTGATCCATACCGGCTGGGATTTCTGCGTTCTCGTAATCCCACCAAACCTTGGTCTTCTGATGAATCGCATCTTCATCTTTCGGACAAACACTGTTGTAGTGGTTTCCATTATGGTATGACCTAAACGGGTAAATTTGTTACATGGTGAACAAATCTGTTAAGTAGTTCAATTGAGTAAGATATAAGAACTTACAAGTTGATCATGCGTCCGTTAGGCAGCTTGGGCATGATTTCGTTACTTCGAGAGTAATCCCGGTATACACGTATTCCAGTGTGTGTGATATTAGCAGCTGGATATGATCTCCCCAAGTTCCATCTTGGCTCATGCGTACACAGTAAGCCTCATAACTCTCATGATCAGGATAGTCAACAGACTTCTCAAATAGTTCACGATTTGCCTGTATAAAGCCATAGCCATTTAGAAAATTACAAATCAAATTTTAAAAACTTGTAAGAAAATAGGCCTTACCTGCATATATTCTACGTTCTTTCTACGGATGTCGCCGTGAAACTTTTGATTGCCGTAGAATTGA